GGGTCATGTTCAGTGCGTCACGGGCGTTCCTCAGAAGGTAGAGGCCGAAGTTTACCTCTGCACTGGCTAGGATTGACCGTGCAAGAGCCAAGCTCAATGAAGAAGTCCCTTGCGGGGAAGTGTTTGCTGCTAGCCTGTTCACAATGACGGCCGGGAACAGCATCGTGCGTCCCTCTTCCTCCCTCTCCCCACTGACTGCGCCTTAACCCGCCCCCTTTGACATTGCCGCAGGACATCGTCCGGAAGCTGCAGCACCGGGTGCACGGACCCCGCCGCGTGCGAGCTCGATCGGCTCTGCGGCAGGACACATCTCATCGCACCCGACAACGCCGGCGTCGTGCACAGCATGCCGTCGTCCACGAAGAGCTCCGGCAGCGGCAGCATGGCGTCCGCGCTCTCTATGAACCCCCGCTCGCGTCTGTGCATCTGCCGCCACTCTTTGACGCGCCGGCGAGGCGGTCACACCGACTCACACGCAAGCGTCGGCGCCGTGCACGAGCATCAGGACGTGCACCCGATCCACGTCTCGGACATGCACATCCTCGGCGGGGGCGCGTTCTTGTTCGACCTGTCCGGGCCGTGGCCGCTCCCGCTGCGCATCGATGGCAAGCCCGACTTCCGGATGCTACACGAAATTTCGGGGTACTTTGAGCCCGACCACTTCGGCGGTGAGGTGAGCGTGCAGATGTAGTGTGTCACCTTGAGAATGTGTTCAGTAATGTACAGCTGTGTCGGTGATTTGATGCTTAGCTACCTTAGTATTCTACCTTCGCCTCGGAGGCCGACACCGCCTGAATCTCATTACATATGATTAAATATGATTGCTTAAAATTAAATACGCGTAAGATTATGCATATCATAACTTACGGCGTCCGTATACGCTGTACGCAATTCTAATGCATACATATCCTCAAATTTCGTATGTAATCTTAATTGGTGAGCACTACCGAACAAACATCAGCACAACGAAATATTCACGTGTCGCGGCATTAGACGCCAAATTACTATAGGCCGTGTCTCGATCTCAGGGTTAGCAGTCGTGTACTTACCACCGCAGCAAGAGGCGAAAAAAAAAACAGCGACACCTTGGAGTCGGCCTCATCGACATCCGCAATGCATCCTACAGTACTGTAGTGCGCCACCGGACGCGGACGTGGCGGCATTAACGCGCGCTGCCAGTATTGAGCTGCTCAAGGTTTGGGCACCCGCATTCTTCGTGCGAAATCATCAGACGAATGACGCTGGAATTGTCCCAGCCATCGATCCCCCAGCATGCGTCCTGACTCCTCCAGCAGGCTCGATACCAGCCACCTTGTGCGCAATACTCGGTAGCCTTTCCGGCGTACCGACCACCGTCCCACCCTCGGTACGTGCTCCTATCGGCTACCGAGTAGACTGGTAACGATTTTACTCCTCCAGCTGGCCTGAGACCACCATCGCTGCTCCGCTATTCAGATTCGCACTGTCCAACTTCATCTCGACATTCATGTTCTTCCTCCGCCGTCCACTTTCCGCTCCAGATGAAATCTATTCATCTTGTCTCTCGACACTACACGAGGGCCACGCCCTCTGGTATCCAGAGCCTCACGCATCAGGCGAGCCGCAAATAGGGGACGTCGGCTTCATACGCACGGGTGCCTTCATCAGACTCTTCAACCTCGACACGTCTGCGCCTGGGAAGAAGGTCGTAGAGTGGGACACACCGTTTGAAATCACCGAGCCGTTACCTCAAGGTATGCTCAAGGTTGATCCCAGGCGTCGTCCACTCGTTCCCGCCCATTATCGCAGTCATGGAGTCGAGAGCAGACAGGCGCATGCCTCGGCAGGCATGTGAGTGGATTTGTTCGCCTGACTAATCCGTTTGGTTGATGGTCTGCAGAGCGGCTGGCACGAATGTATCGGTGGCATTGAGTGCGGAGTATACGTGCAAGGCAGCCCAAGGTGCGGTGCTTGCGCTCAAGAGCGAGGCAGACGCCGAATCGATCTACGATAATTTGGCCCTGAAGGAGTACATTCTCCGGCACCATGATGAGTGGTACACATATGCTCGGGGGATTCTCCGCCACGATGTCAAGCGGGAGGATATTGTCATGATCATCGGCTGGGTCAAGACCGAGGCCGACTGGGCGGCCGCCGTCTTCAGCAACACAAGTACGAGTTCCAGCGTCTCGATCGAAGGCCGTGGTGGTGGTGTTGCGGGGATGGGCATGGGGACGTCGCACACGAGCTCTGTGACTGGCCCGACGATGCAACGACAAGGTGAGAACTACTTGGCGAATGCTCCCGGACCCGTTCCTGCAGTGCCGAAGAGAGACCAGTCAGCCTTGGTGAAGCGGTACAAAGTGCGGAAATGGCTTGGAGTGGTAAAGAGAGTCGTCGCGGGTGGGGGTTATCACCGGCTTCCGGATGGAGGAGATGAGAGAGGTGGCTCAGCAGAAGAGGGGATCTCGGCGCAAGAGATGGGAGATGTCGACGAGAAGAGTATTCTGGACATGTGGAACGAGGTATGTATTCCGCTACCATGTGCTGCGAGGCACGCAGAGTGACAAAACACCAGAGCAAGGTTCCTGATCCATTAAATGTCCTTCTTGACTACATACACGAGGTATGTCCGCTCAATAGCTTATCTCATTGTGTCGTGATGCTGATTGAAGGATATATTATGACAGACTACCGGCGTCGAGACTGCTATCGCGAGTGATGACGATGTGTGGAGTATTGTCGTATGTGTCGTGACGCACGTTTTACAAGCGCGAAAATGCTTATTCTTGGACAGGGCGGCAAGTCGGTGATTGATTTCGCAAGCTATCTTCGTCGAATCCAGCCTCCGGTACACATCGACGGCGCGGGTAAGTCTGTGACCTGGTAGCAGTCACGGTCTCTAACTGGCTCGACTCTCCGCACAGTCGGATCGCTGTGTATGGAAGACGTGATCTCTCACAAGCGGGCCTCCGCTTTCTCTCGTCAGAATATCACTTGGTCCGACTTGGCAGAGTGGCCAGATGCCGCCTTAGACGGTGCCGATCGCCTGGAGGATGGGCGCGCCTTCACCAGTCCCTTGGATGCTGAGCCTCGTCCTCTCAATTTGAAGCGAGTCACCTTCAACGATCCACAAGATCCGTCCCGAGATTGTTACCGCTTCGCATTGTCGGCAGATGGCAAGCTTCTCGCGGCATCGTTTGGGAGTATCGACATTCTCGTATGGCGATTATCCGACGGTCTACTCGTTCAACGTCTACACCATCAGGGCCATAGAAGCAATGTTATAACCCTCTCCTTTTCCCCCATCGACTACAATCTTGTCTCAGGGTCCTCCGACGGGACGGTAATTGTGTGGGATACTCGACGTGGCCGTGTACTTTTGCATCTGGAGGGACACAGTGCGCAAGTGAATGGGATTGCATACACTGCTGATGGTGCGCTCATCGCCACTGGCCCTTGCGACCGCGGATCTCGCAGCGACAAATCCGTGAAGGTTTGGGACACGTCGAGTGGAGCATGCCTGCATTCCTTCAGCGTTGGCAACGACGTGGACGAGCTCACGTTCTCCCCAGACAGCACACGTCTCTATGTCAGACTGACCACGTCCTGCGTCATCTATGATATTCACACCTACGCGCGCACTGCTACATTACAGCATATTGCCGGAGAAGTGCTCCTCTCGCTGATGTCTCACCAAGGCGATCGCATAGTCACCGGCCCGACTTCGGACCACCCGGGACAGGTGAAGATATGGAACGCAGTGACAGGCGAGGAGCTCCTCACGATTGATCATCCGAAGAAGCTCTCGGAACCCGTGGCATTCTCCCCTGATGGGTCCGAGGTGGTGGTGGGTTGTCCCGCGAAGACGGCAGCCGTCACGTACGACTCGCGGACGGGCCACCTCCGTCACGTCTTCAAGTTGGCAAAGCCAGCACGTCATGCCATTTACTCTCCAGATGGAGACTGTGTCGCCTTTGGTGCCGAATATGGAGATCTCGAGGTGTACGATGCGAAGTCTGGGACATTTCTCGTAAGGTTTGATGAGCATGAAGGGAGTGAGAGGCTGTATGAGATGCGCTTTTTATCTGACAGTCAATCTCTTCTAGCACGGTTCAGTAATGGACCTTTAGTTCTGTATAACATTCAAGATGTATTGCGAATGCGGTAGCGTAGGATTAGTGTAACAATGCCCTCCCAGCTCAATGTACTACAGCAATGCAGACAGGCAATGAGCATGTGGCGAACACAGACTAATACGTGCTAGCATTGGACGTGGGTGATCAAAGATTTGCATGTAACGAACGAAGAGTGCGCGTATGTACGAGCAGCATATAGATACAGATAGCGGGCCTACAATAAGGCCCAGTTCACGAACTTGAAGGGCAGTGGAACAATTCAGGGCTTGGACGGACGTAATTCAGGTGCTGTCACGTAGTGTAGGCGGCATGCCGAGCTATATACCGACTTTTTACAAGCGTTGTTTCTCAGCTGATTGAAATACCACGACACCGGTCGGTACGACATACTTGCGAGGCGCAAATGTGACTGGTGAATAGTCGCTCAAGTTCCCGCTAGCAATAAAGTATCGTCTGGTGATTCGGTCTTCGTCCGTGGATGACGATCGGGACAAGCTTACCGATGTCAGACAGAGAATGCAGCAGCTGCCTGGCTCAGACGAGACCTGATGAGACCTAAACAGAGACCGTACTGAACGCTCGACCTCAGTCTGCAGTCGGACGAGAACATCAATGTCACCACAATCATCAACTTCCCATGTAGCACCAGGTCAACTGAGACGCATTTTGAGCGACTTTTCTGTTCCGAGAACAGCGGTACTATGATGGCACCCTGGTTTATAAAAATTGAGCAAATCTGCTTCTTGTAGCTTACCATAACCCCTCTTCGTGAACAGTTTTGTATAAATCGATGTGCGCACACCTTGACTGTGTATTCGCATTTTTGTTGTATTTTATTGAGGTCTTGCTAGGGCTGCGGATCGATTCCGGTGCGCAAAATGGGACCTGCTCCCTCGTTTATTAATTTCGTCACACTAGTGTCACACCAGATGCCGTCGAGCCGTGCTGCCAGTGATGCGCATACGTGCGGTTGAACATAAATACGTACCGTCGGTGATATGTATATACGACGTATATACGACGTGCCCAAAAAGCCCACGGTGATTCTCACGGGGTGACGGATATTTTCCAGCCAATGGGAGAGCATGCTGCCATCACTTTCCATTCTGGGCTCGTGGCTGCGAAAGTATGTCAGGCTACTTACCTCATATACCTGATAGCAGCCATCCCTCTCGTTTGCAGCATTTCATTAATTAGTAAATAATGAACCCGCAATGAGATACAGGTGTACCATGCACAGTCTTAGCAAGCTGCTGTAAGTCCTCACATATCCCTCATTGAACTGGTAAGGCAAAGGGTACTTCAAGTCCACTGCTCGCAAACGAAGGTCATGCCTCCAACCTCCGTCTCCCCCTCTCTCTAGCTTAGCATGCCTCCGGGAAAGCCAAAGGACTGGGTGTGGGATGAGTACATTGTCCACCCTGACTACAAAACTTCCAAGCCACCTCCCGAGCACTCAGTCCAGGCAGGACATGCAAAAGTGTTCTGTCAAGCGTGCCTCCGCGAGTGCACGCGCATCCACAAGAAGGCTGACGATCAGCTGATTGAGGTGGGATCTATCCAACAGGGGCGATCAGATGCGGTCATTCAGAACCTGCGTATGTAACGGTGCAACCACATGATCTGCCAATTGGCACGTACTCACATGCACATGGATTATAGTCTGGAATGCGGAGTACCAAAGTTCTGATTGCGCATGGATCCAGGGATGTACTGACACAATGCGAAATCATCTAGCTCACTGCCAACATCAGACCGATCCCGTGAAGCAACGGGCAGCTGCTGCGAAAGCGGCTCTTCTGCGGAAGCGCAAGCACGAGCCGGAGCTGTACGACAATTACAGCACCGGTGACCCCTACTACCCAGACGCAAACACTTCCAGATCATCTTCACATCTGCAAGTCTATGTTGTGGGTCCGTCTGGTATGTATCTCATTCATTTGGACGCTTTTCCCCACAGAATTGATTTGTTTGTTGGTAGGACCTGCCGGCCAGGCATATTTTGTCCCACCGCCGGATTCAGCTCTCTTTGCAACTGCTGGCTCTCCGTCTGGACTGCCGGGCCCTTCACGGCTGCTAGATACTACTTCACCATTGTATCCTGACTATACTAGCCAACCTTCGCCATTTTTTGGTCCGTCATGTTCAGCATCACCACCTACAGCCAGTTTTTTCGCATCTGGAGCCTCGCTACCACCCTCTCGCTCAGCATCTCCATTCCCTCCTGCGAAGCATCTGCGGGCCACTGACATTCCGCCCTTACTTTCCCGATCATCCTCTCTTCCCAGCCGCCCACCCAGATCACGCTCGGCATCTGCGGCAGCAGCTGGGAGCCCTTTTGTAGAACGTCCTTGGACAGGTGCTCAGCAGTCTTTGTTTGAGCGCTGTCTAATTCGCATGACTGCGTCGTGTGGATGGGCTCTCACATGGGTGCATAATCCTGAGGTTCTTGTGTTCATGGAAGAGCTCGTCCATCTGGGAGCAATCATGCCATCACGAGATACTATGACTCGCCGTATTCTTCCTGAGACATTGCAAGTCATGCGAGCCGGGAACCTTGAACGCATCCGGGAAGAGAAGGATCCACTAGCTACCATTCAGTTTGATGGGTGGACCGCTCTCAACCACCATCACTATGACGCGTTCATGGCAAATATCAGCAAGCTGGTGCGTAAATTCTTTGCATCTTAGCAATGATATTCACAATTTTTGTTGCAGATTTATTCGGTCAAGGTTTATGACGTCTCCGCCCATTGCAAGTCTGGAGAACGCCTCTTTGGACTTCTCAAAGAAGTTGCCGGCATAGTCGAGAACCAGTGGAAGGTTGAGATTGTGGCAACTTGCTCCGATGCTGGGCCAGATGCGAGCAAGGCTCGCAAGCTTTTTCTCAACTTTCGTAAGGACGTTATCAGCATTGATTGTTATGCGCATCAGGTGAGCTGTCACCACCTTTATCAGAGCAATGATCTCACATGGTTATAGATCAACCTTCTAGTCGGAACATACTTCAAAATTAGCTCTACATGGTATCACAAGTATTCAAAGCTCGCAGATGAGATTATTACATGGATACGGAGCAAGACCATCATGCATTATGCATTGAAAGTAAAGCACGGTGCAATGACAGGTACTGCAGGGCTTTCCGTGGTTCACGCAGTCATCACACGGTGGACAGCTCATTATCTTGCATATCGGCGTCTTCTCGAGCTCCATTTCGCCCTGCAAGCCCTTATCAAAACTGATCGCTCCCTTCCTGAGAACCAGCACTGCGTAATCTTTGGAGAAGCCAGTGCGAAGCGCAAGGCCCTTTCCATGATTGTTGTGATTGAAGATCCAGACTTCTGGAAAGTGATCCGAAGGTGAGTCTTGTGCTAATCTTGTGTACACTGCATGTGACGCAGTCTGTCTTATCTTAGGATCACATCACATCTGAGACCCCTTGCAATTGCTGTGAACATTGCCCAGGCATCCCATATTTGCCTTGATCAGATCCTGCTTATCTTTGCCCTCTTATGGCTCCGATACAACGAGCTTTTGTCTCAAGATGATGCATCTGTGCATCTCGAGATGACAAAGGCCATCGAGGCTCGCTGGTCCAAGGCCGATCAAGACGTCTTCATCACTGCGCTCATCCTCAACCTGTTCTACAAGACACGTCCATTCAAGGCCCTCAATTGTCTCACCCCTGGTGGCATCTATGCATTACTCTGCCGTCTCTGGCGGCGCTTCTTCCTGAACAACAGCGGCTCAACAGACTCGCAACCACCAAGAAGCTTGCTTCAAGAAGTCCAGCAGTATCTGGAGGGTTCAGGTGACTTCGCGTGCTTGCGCGAAGTTGTTGCTAACCAGTGGTCTACTGCTTTGAAGATGGTGTGTAATGGCTCTGTATACCAAGCTGTATTTGAAACTAATTACATCATAATTCACTTCGGCAGGGAACGTCTCCTGACCCACTGAGTGCCTGGAAGTCTTGCCAGCACCCACACTTACCTATGCGACCACTTTATAGGCTTGCCCGACGCATCTTGTCGGTGTGTGCGAACTCAGCATCGTGCGAGCGGCTCTTCAGCACCTTAGGAAATATTCTCACGAAGCTGCGCAACTGCATGGGCAACATGATGCTTCTCTCACTCGCAGAGATGAAGCTGCTCATTCGCGATGAGCATCTCCGAGATGGAAAGCTCAAAGAGCGCCTCAAGCACCACATTGACACCGACCGACGCCTTGCCCAGAAGGCCGTATCAATGCCGTTGTCAGCACCATCACTTCTCCCGATCGCTCCGTCTCCCCTCTCCCAAGCTCCGCTTTCGCACCAGGTCTCACTTGAGCCTGCCATGCTACCGACCACTCCGGTACCTTGCTCGGTAGCAGTCACCAGCGCTGCTCCCACCACCGCAGTTTCCCGTGCACTCCCCGGAGCCGCCCCCACCAAAATGGTCGCAGAGGCTGCAGACGTTTCTGGAGAAGACATGCCTCTGACTGTGCACGAGTCTACTGATGAACTCATTCACCTTGCGGCAGACATGGCATCCGAAGCTGCCGAGAATGAGCTTGCGGCAGAGTACAGCAGGCTGTTTCCAACTGCATACAAGATCAAGCTCGAAGATCTAATCGATTTTCAGGTATCCTTCTGGTCTGAGGCATGCGAGAGAGTTGGCGATAGGGGTCTCAATGACGAGATGGAGCTGTGCGAGCTGTTAGAGTCGGTCAATCCTGTGCCGAGCACAGCTGCTGGTGCTGGCCCACATGGTCAGGGTGCAGACTTGTCCTCTCAACCCGAGCTCGATGGAGGTGCCGAGAGCATTCTTGTATCTTAATCACACATTTTTCTGCCTCAGAAATTGCTCTATTAATCTCTATGTCGTCAATACATGGTATGCGGCACTGTTTGTACTGCGTTCGCGCTTTGGTACGCAGCCGATTGCCATTCTTAGTAAAAACGAGCTGCCATCAATATAACCGTTACAAATTTATACGTTATGCAACGTTTAAATGTCCATACGAGCGCCAAAACGTATATACGACGGTTGTCGCAACACTGTGGTCTTGGACCTTTAGTTATGTATAACATTCACGATGTATTGCGAATGCAATAGCGTATTAGTGGAGCAATATCTGCCCGGTTCAATGTACTACAGCAGCGCAGTCAGGCAGGGTGTATGTAGCGAATACAGTTTAATATGTGCTAGCATTCGATGGGGGGGTAACATGTAACAAACGAAGAGTGCGCGCACGTAAGAGTGGCATAAAATACAGATAGCAGGCCTGGAACAAGACCTAATTCGTGAAGGGCAGTGGAACGATCTAGGACTCGAACGAACGTAACTCAGGTGCTGTCGCATAGTATAAATGGCATGCTATTACTATTACTATATTATTATTACTATATTACTATACTATTACGCAGATGCCCTCAAAGTAAGAAACGAGTTTTTTATCCCTGTCTCACGCCGTGCGCAGCGCGGCTTGCTGCTCCGTGCTGCACGTTGAGCTAAACTCTATAGCTGAGCCAGAATTAATATTACCAAAAATCTTGATCGTGTCATTCAACACCCGCAGAACTGCAGCCACGAAAACAGCAGTCGCGGAGCGCAGCGAAGCTACCTCTTGTGCTATATACCAGCCTCACGGATGTCAGAAACAGAACGCAGCAAGCTGCCTGGCTCAGGCGAGACGTACTAAATAGCAACACACAGAGACCGCATAGAGCGCCCGATCTCCAGTCTGCAGCTGGACGAAAGCATCATTCTATCAGCACAGTCACCAGCTTCGCCAGGCAAACGACAGACTGAGAAGGCAAATTCTGAGGGAGTTTTCTGTTTGCTCACAGCGATAGTACAAGAGTAAAACGAAGGGTCGGGATGCCTGCCACCCAAAGCTCCCAACTTCGGCTAGAAACGTCATCCAAAGTTCGAACAGTATAAGAATGAGGCCTTGGAATGTATTTCATAGATACGCTGATGCTCAGTCGAGCATGCCCTGGTCTGACGCTGTGCTCGACGAGCAGCACGCCAATCCCTTTGGTTCGCTATACGGCGCAACGCTGAGTGGGTGGGACCGTCCCTGCCGATGTACTTCGCTAGCAGGTGCCGCCCAGCGTGGAGTTCATCCAAGAAGTCGGCGATGACGGTCGGCGCACATTTAACGGCCCACTCCTAGACTGTAGACAGCTCAGTAAATGTTGCTGGGCAACAGCAGACATGACAGGCTGAACGTACAGCTCTCTCAGCTAATCACCAACAGCTCCTGCACGTCCGGTGCACACGCGAGGCTGTCCTGTGTGGCCCACAGCCGCTTCGGCTCCATGGTCAGCTGGCCATTCTTAACCTTGTTCGCCGGGAACATCTTCAGGTGGCTCGCCAGGCTTAGCTGTGCGCGGATGAAAGGTCATGATGATGCTACCTGATCGTATTCTGGCAGTCCGTCAGGAACTGGAGGTGGAAGTCGTGGTAGCCTTTGCCGAAGTGATGAGCGCAGTGATAATGTGGTCTCTATCTTGCTAATTCCTCCGACGTGCGGAGAGGCTTCGTAGTTCCACAATACCACTGAATATGCCGGGCTGTTACCGTGGAGAGTGCGTTGGTTGGGAGCCTGGTGCCGCGTTCCACAGACGAGAGGTACGCGCCTTGGTTCGACCTGTACGCCGACCTGGCCGTCTGTCTCCTATCTCTCCGGCATCCCCAAGGCGGGATACTCCACGGGCAACCAGATAGAGGCCTGTGCACATGCGTTCGAGCTCGTAGGCCTCTGGGAGCCAACATCATGAGCCTGTTCGAGGAGTTGCATAATTCGAAGGCGGTCATGGGTGGCCAACTCGATGCTTCGCCTGTGCACAGATGGCTAGATGGGACATAGATGCAGGGTTGGGTGAGTTTGCAACAGTGTGCTTGCGGTTATCGAAATGTTGATGGGCTAGCTGGAGGAAGACAGGGAAGAGCGCAGAGGTCGAAGTTGGTACATTCCACGCCCTTGCAACGCACACCGAAGATTGGTCCTCCGCATCCAGGGCACATAGTTCCTCGATGTTCCGTATGACAAATATTCAACACTGGATCTCACCGGCCATAGTTTGCTGGGGCTGTGGGTCATAGGCTGCGGATCATTGGATATCGCCGGTTGCAGTCACTAACGGCATTTCTGTTACTGCCGCAAAAAGCCTGTTACAATTCATAAGTATTGTGGTTGTATTATAGATAGATGACGGACCTGAGTTACCATCACGATGCTCAAGAAAGCTGTGAAAGCAACAACAACAACCAGAGCGACCACCTTGTCTGTCAACAACATAGTTACTCATACACCAGTGTCCTGTTCCGAAACATACACAGCATATTCTCGTGTACAAAGCTGAGCGCAATGTCAGTGCTGCAGCTCACGATGTCGTTGTACAGGAGGAAAGTTTACTCCAGCCAGTGTACGCATGTGTCGTACAAAATCTTTCTGAGGTTGGAGAGTCATTTACCAAACCTGATTTCTTACCGCATGCGATATACGCAGCGCTGCAGCAACACCTAGGTGAATGCCTGTGTTTCCGCAACCAAATCAGTTAGAGCAATTCATGTCAACAAACGGAAGCACATGATCATGACCGACTGAGGGCGCCTGAACTTCGTGTCAATACCAGAAGACTGCAGTTAAGATGAGACGGACTGACGTAGACTCGCCAGCCAGCCCGCTTGGCAAGCTCCGTGGTTTCCCATGCGCATCCTCTTTTCCTGTTTTGGACAGGAAGGACGCGAGCTTGCGAGCGGACTGGGCAATCACGTCCCCAAACCAAGTAGTATTGCCACGGCTTGGCGCGGCTTGGCTGTGACTTGACTTTGGACGGCTTTTCCTTTTTCGGATCAGCCGAGTCAAGTCAAGCCGCAGTGCAGCCGCGACTATAAGCGACTATGGCTGAGCAGCGGCTTGCAGCCAATCGTCCCTCCCAAAAAGGAAGGTAGGTCACACTGGTACCGCAGAATTCATCGTAACATTGCTTGTCCTACTTGAGTGATGCTAAATATGAACTGATCTCCTCTGGAGACTCTTCTGCACGGCTCTCCAAGTCCTTGAGCTCCTCTCCAATGTCCAAACCATGTGTGAAAGACAGAGAATGGCCTTGCTTGAACCTGAACTTGAGAATTTGCAGTGCTTCCATGAGTTCTCCACCGATTTTGTTGCGCCGGTCTGTGACTGTTATCTTTCCGGATGAGAAGACATGTTCACAAGGCACAGCAGAGGCTTGGATAGGCAGAATATCCATTGCAATGGCATAGATGGTTGGAAACCTGGTCTGAGATGCCTAAAATGTGAAGATAAATCAATATTTCGAAAAAAATGGAGAAAAATGGAGAGAAAATTATGGCACAAGTTTCAGTAAGTGTACACTCACCTTCCAGTATGTGATAGCATCCACAAATCCATCTGTGGGCTCTGCAATTTATGCATACCACTCTTGCTCTACTGAACACTCAGCCAATGGACCTTTTCCTTTACCCTTGAATAAAATGTCGTAGGCCTTTTGCTGCTGTGTTTGAATCACTGCAGCTGCCGGAGCCAAGGCCGAAGAGGCCATCTTGGATTTATACTTGTGCATCTGTAAAATGAATGTTAATATAGAGAGAAATGAAGATTAAAATATGAGTAAAAGCGCACCTCAGCTGAAAATAGATTCTTTGCTGCAGCCGCTTCTGCTGGTGAAGTGTTTTGCTCAAACCACTCCAGCTTACATGCAGGATTGATGACTAATAAACTTAGCTTCAGATTTTAGCAGCTTTAAAGCTGTGCTTACCAGTGGCCAAAGTATATGCATTACAGCTGCGGTTGCAATCACGATAGTCTTCAAGCTTGTCCAGACCTTGCTGAATAATTCCAGCTGCATTGGATACTTTTGCCTGTTGCTCCTGCCAGCGTATCTTCATGGCTTCAAATTCAGGTAAAACACTAATGAGTGTTGGCGTAGATTCTGAAGATAAAAGCTGCTGAAACGCATTTGGAACCTATTCATGTTTAATTTATTACTTGGATAAATAAAGAAAACTAAACTTACCTGAAGGATCTCGTGGAATACTTCCAAAGCTTTCCACTCTTCATTGTTCATGCTATACTTGCAAAGTTCTGCAAACTCTGAACCATAGAGAAATTGTTCAATTGCCTATAAATAAATAAGCCTGAAAGTATACAGTATGCCAAAATAAATTGTTACCTCGCAAAGTAGAATAGCCTGATCTATCATGAAATATGTTGATGACCACCGTGTCTCAATGTCTTTGAGAAGCTGCAGAATGGCCATATCCATGTTGACTAAAATCTGCATAGAATGCTGGCGACGCAGTGCAGATGCACGAATCTATACATTGAGGTAAGGCAAATCACTATCTTGTATAGATTAAATTAAACTTACTGCTCTAATGAGAGAACGTAAAGTTGCGATAGGGTCACGTTTGACTGCGTCAAGAAAATTGCGTGGCGAAAACTTTTCTGGCTCGAAATCTTGCGATGTTTCCTTGACATACTCAAGTTCAGTTATAGCACTAAGAACACTTTGGCATGCTAAGTTGACAACATGTGGAAAGCAGCTACAGTTATTTTGAGCAATAAACTGCAATTGATTTATTGAAATATACACACCGAATGCGACTTTGAAGCTTGTCAAAAGCAATTCCACGCTTTCGCAAGACTCCATGCAGATGTCATTGTTTGTTGCATTGTCCATTGTAATCCAGCCAATCTATATATTTTTAAAGGATAGTAAGTGGTTTAATCATTTTAAGTTGTTAAAATGGCTGTACCTTGTTTGTGATCTTGATACGGTCCAGGATATAAAGGAATGCAGCCGCAAGATGCTCACCGGTGTGTCTGGAGGGGACATGGTGAAAGCCGATAAGATCTGCACGAAGTCGAAGCTGCGGCTGAAGTCTGTTACCACAATCTTCAAGAACAAGCTGCAGCCAATGTGCAGTAACCGCCATGTACGGCGATAAGAATGGGTCAGTCCACATATCCATTGTGAAGGATATGCTGCCAACTGCATTCTATAATTAGGAATTAGAGCAGAATTTTTTTGTAATTTTTTCGCCACTTACCTTCATATCCTGGCTAAGCTCCTTGAGATACTCTTCGAAAACCTCACCAACTCATGTTCGGATAGTGGTCCGCCCAGGAATATCTTTCTCATGCAGCTCAGAGTGAAGCAAAAGAAAGATATTGCGAAGCTGTGGATTTTCAATCACGCATAAAGGCTGCAAATATTTATTCAGATTTAAAGCACAATAAAATGTAAATTTAAAGCACACCTGATCGTCAGCAACAATCCACTCAGTAATGTAATCCACAAATAGCTCCTTGGTGAACTGTGGCCGGCTGTTATCTGCTTGTGCAACATCTGGTTGTCCACGTTGACGTCGCCTCCAGGCTTTGACTTGTGCCGTAGCACACTTCGCTGTGATTTTGACTTGCGCCTTATCGCACGCCTCCACCCACTCGTCAAGATGAGCATCTCGGAAGTGCTTTCGGGGGTTGTCTGTGCCTGCAGTAGTCCAGGTGGACACATGGTGATGAGGATTCTGTTCATGCATAAACCTGGCGAGTTTTTTTTAGAAATAAGTGCAAAGAAATAGCTGAAAGAAATTCATACAAGCAAAACTTGCATTTCTTGCGTCCATTCTCATCTGTCTTGATAAAGGGCCAGACATCCTTAGCTTGCTTGCCTTGTCTGTTGCCTGCAGGCCCATGAGGCAATTTCTGATGCTGACTGGCAACAGGTGAATTGGGAGGACCTGCTGGCTTGCGAGTTGGAGTGGCAGGAGCAGGCAGGAGATCACGTGAAGAGCCTGCAGCTGGCATTGGACTAGTAGGCGAGTCTTCAGAGTCGTCTGCAATATCAATGTTGATGTATTCACGACTATCAGCAACTGGAACAGATCTACAAAGATCCAAACATTAGAGCATAGCAATTTGCAGTATTGGTCACCACGCACTTGTCTATTGAGCTCTCCCCACTTGGATCGTGCTGGTGATTGGCACGACCTCTCTGAGGCGACGCGAATGCCATGAGCACCTCTCCTTCAGCAACATTCTGAACTCCTGGACCTTTCCTACCACCTCTCTTCTTTGCTGGGGAACCTTGGACAGCATCCTCAGATGAGAATTCACCTACAGAATTCAAGATGTTATCAGCAGACAACATCAAACTGCACAAAAGCTCAAAAAAAGCGCACCAGACAGCCTAAACTGGGTCATAACAGCTCCATTGTCAAACTCAACATGCTTAGAGGCCACCTTTTGCCTCTTAGGTGTCTTCTGAGGGGTCTCGGCAGCTCTCTTCTTTCCATGGTTGCAAGGAGGCATAGTGGCAAGCAAGGTGACGCGGCGTTTGCCTTTTTGGGACAACTGGACCTGACTGCAAGCCACCGCCGAGTCGCGCCAAGCCGCAGTTAAGCCGCGTAACAGCCAAGAGCCAATCAGCGACTTGGCTTGGCTGCCACATGGCTTGACTGCAACGACTAGCGGCTAAGCAGTCAAGCCGTGGCAACACTAAAACCAAGGGGTCTCCTGGGCGCTTGTATGCTCAACTTCAACCTCGACGACAGGATAGCTCCCTGCGCCGTCTAACGACCCTGTGACTCTGCATAGCATTATGGTGCGCTTCTACAACATTAGTTTTATCATTTACTAAATTGAAAATCCTGCTGTCTGACTGTTCAGGTCTTGCCAGCTAAGTTTGGTACGCCTTGGCCATGACACCCTCGAAGCTGCTTGAGGCTGCTTACTGTGGCCATAGGCGGGCGGGATTAATCCCTGTCGAGGATGCTGAGGGACTAGTGTGACATAGTAAGAAGGAGAAGAGGCAAGGAAATGCCTCAGGTGATGGTGGCTGCACTCAGCCCGAGTCAGCTGCCGAGAACCTGAAGCGCAATACCTCAGCCTGTGGCCCTGTACATCAAGGTAAGACGCATGTTCCCCCAGGTTTGTCGTATAACATGCATTGTCTTATAGATTTCATGCACAAGCATAATGTGTATGTCCTAGATCCCCAAGGGCGTACGCACCAATGAAAATGCCAAGGTGGGTGTTCTTGCAATTGGCGTACAGTGGCTGACCGACCCTCTTGCAGACTATGGCAACCTGTTCAAGTGCTTGCACTGGCGTCGTCACCTGTGACCAGTTGTTGGAGATCCTATCACTGTGCTCTCGGATTATCCGGCAATTTGGACTCCTGTGGGTGATCAGTCTGTCAATGCAGATGTGCCAGAAGGTGAGTGATTGTTCTCTAGTGAACCGAAACTGTCACTTTCTGATGTATTATGTCAATACACAGCCTCCGAAAGCACTTCCGAAAGCACTTCTGCACAACCTGCTACGGCCACGGTTCATGAAACCAACCTGCCGAGCATGAAGATGAGCCCGACCATGTAAGCACCCACTTGGGTAGTTCATCTATGACTGGCACAGTGATCAGTTGCATCAGCTCACCAGAGGCCTTAGACAGCTCAGACAGCTCAAGGGTATCAGACAAACCTTTGGATGATGTCGAGAGTGAAGAACGGCTGCCCTGGGAGCACTTACTCGATGAGCCCCTTAAGGAGGTTATTTCCCTTAAGAACAAAGATGATGTAGATTTATACATGTATTGACCTCCTCTACATCCCTTCGTAACTTATATATGTGCGGCACTTGAGTATCGAGGCGGGAAACATCGAATTAGAGGGGCCATGGGAACCCCTTGGTCGGGGCCCGTGAGTGCCCAGCCGGTACGGTCAGAGAGCCTCGAGCGCTTGCCGAAAATGGCAAAAGCGAAAGAGGCCCGAAAGACCGGACCGGATGGGGACGAGCCTAGGACTGACGCTACGTCCCCTCGCGCTGAATCACTAAGGTATATCGACAACTTTCGCTCGATCTCAGTCGCAACACTCGCAAAACCGTATAGATTGATAGCATATATGTAATCCGCTGGTCTTAAGTACAACCCAGAACCCCGAACGAAACGAATGAAGGGATCTGGAAGTCTAGGAGAACGGTGTGTCATTTCCGCGATTACTTGGGTGCCAAGCAAGCAGTCACGAGCGAAGTGTCATTCCAGACGCCGTTCGTGTCCGTTGGGACCTCGCTCAGGACGTAGCTCGGGTCGAAGTTGCCAGCGGCCCAGCCGACATAGCCGAGGAAGACTGCACGGAGCCCCTGTCAGACATCGCTTGGTATTTGAGATAGAAGTGTGCTCACCATCAGAGTTCTGTTGAACGAAGGCGATCTGCTGGCACAGGTACGTCGCGCACGAGTCGGTGTTTCCACCGCCTGTCTCCGTGTTAAATGCTTGGCGGCCGTTGGCACGCAGGTAGGTTGCGAGTGGGCCGAAAGCGTCGTCGATGTTGTTCGTCACGCAGTCATCATGGGTACCGCTGTTCCTCCATCAGCATCCACCTAGAGCAAGCGTAGCAAAGAACATACGAGTTGTCTGAGTCGAGGTACTTGTGGACGTCGAAAATCAGGTTGGTGAAGCCGCCATCGGGGTTCGTGACATTGCCCAGCGCGGCCGCAGAGCCGTTCGAGATGAAGGTCTCAGCAGAGGTGTAGTCGTTGCCCGGCAGCAAGATCAGCTGCGTCGTGGCGCCTGCTTGGCGGATGGCGGTGACAGCGGCCTGGACGGATCCTGCCCAGAGGTTGATGTCTGGGATGTCATGGGGCTCGTTCATGCTAATGGTGAGTGAGCAAGCAAGTCTGACTAAAGGGTACTCAGAGGACTTACACTCCGAAGATGATTTGGTCGTTATCGGCGTATTTGCTTGCAATGTTGCTCCAGAGAGAAGCAAAGATATCATTGCTTGGACCTCCTTGGCCTATGATCTGGAAGCGAACGTCAGCTCGTGGATTTTAAGAGCGTAAAAAGTATAAGCTACCTCTCCATTCCAGCGAGCATAGTTGTGCACATCGATGATGCAGCTCGCGCCGGTAGCCAAGCAAGTCTGGACAAGCGTGTCGTACTCCTGGAAATTGTCCTCATCAAGGGTACCAGTGAGTACGTCGTTGGTGAGGAACTGCCAGCCGACGGGGAGACGGAAGACATTGAAGCCGTCGTCATTGACGAAGTGCTGCATCTGTCCGGCACCATCATGACCGTAGTACTGAAGCAGAGGAGGCCACGCGCCGCTGGCCGTGCACGACCCGTCGGTGTTGCAGCCGAAGTCGAAGCCGGCGATGTTCACACCTGCGAAACGCAGAGGACCAGCGCTAGCTGGCGCGCTACCGGAAGGCGTTGGGGCACTGGAGGTCGCGCTTGCGCTTGCAGAAGACGCAGTGCCAGGGACGCACTGAGAGTAGTCTGAGTGATACCATGAGTTTTTGGGCGATGAGCAAGTGGGATGTTCTGCTCACAATCATTGATGACGGAGCAGACACTACCAGAGACACAGGTCGTGGAGCCGGTAAAGCCCTAGAATATGGTTAATAGTCAAGCATTCCAGATATTTCAAGCATGCATACAATACCGCCGCCTGTTTGACACAATAAATCAGCGTTCACTTCGTCCGTGAAGTCAGTTCACTTACATTGCTGCCACTCCTGGGCCTGGCCACGAGCCAAGGTGAACCAGAGAGAGAACAGGGGGATTGCGTATACGCCCTTCATCATTTTGCAGTACAGTAATGATAAGTCTGTGTCTACAACAGCATCCCCGTCGCTCCCAGAGAGGTTTTATACTGTCGTTTCGCATGGGTGACACATTCGACGGCGAGCTCTTCTGAGTGAGTTTGAATAGCACTCCCTCACGTGGGGTTAGAGAAGCACATCTTCTGCCATCTTCATCGAAATCAAGTATATGGCAGAAGATGGCAAGTGACGAGTTCTGCTCCTGCGAACCGACGTCAGACCGACGAGAACGTTGAGCAACATCCGTAACGTCCGACATACCCCTTGCACAGTGCAACACACGACTCCCTCAGAACAGACGAAGGAGTCATATGAGCCAAAAGACAGTGTGCTTTGAGCAGAATATCCGAGAATATGCGGCTCATGTTCGCCTCAACGTCGGTCTAGCGGTGAAAGACGTGAAGGAATGACAGAGATGTCCTTTGGCGACATTGAGCTGGGCGGGCGGAGATTTTTCTACAGATATTCGGGCGAATTGGCTGCAACTCGGGAACGAGATGTCGTTTCTTGGCCGGAGAGATGTTCCAAAGGACATCGAGGTCGACCACAGAACCGCAACACTGTAAGCGCGTATGAGTATTCCCCTGATGGATTTCCCACGCATCTCGCACGTGGTGGCTCGATCGCGATGTTCAATGCGTCAGACGCCCGACAGAGGTTGGGCGCGAGTCGCATGATCGCAAAATCTCATCTCACATCCACGCGAAGAGGGGAAACACTCGGCCATGCCACAGACAGGCCTTATCGAAAACGCCCACAGCGACCTCGTCACGGACGCCGCGTACGACTTTTACGGTCTGCGCCTCGCGACGTGCAGCCTTGACCAGCGGTGCGTGGTGTTCGAGTTCAACGTGGCGCGCGGTGGTGCTCAATGGGTGGCGCGGCAGGATAAAAGTATGGGCTCTGGACGAGAGGCAGGGGACGTGGAGTGTCGAGGACGACTGGAAGGTGCGTGCTTGGTTTCATCCTGTTTCTGCTGGTGCTGAAGTTTGGAATATGTAGGCCCATGACGCTGCAATAACGAAGATCAGCTGGGCACATCCAGAATTCGGCAACATCATCGCGTCCTCGTCTTTCGACCGCACGATCAAGGTCTGGGAACAGACGAGCTTTGCAGACTCGGACATATCCGCGAATGTTGCCTCTGGCTCATCGACCGCGTCGCGCTGGGTCGAACGCGCCGTGCTTGTGGACGCGAAGGGCACAGTTCGTGCGGTCGAATTCTCCCCTCATCACTTCGGTCTAAAGATGGTACGTGTCTCACCTCTCTCTACATATGCAGCAGTAACCAGGGTGCTCGACCTTTGTTCGCGCGCTGTACACAGGCCACAATCTCCTCGGACAACCACTTGCGCGTATACGAATGCTTGGAACAGCCCTCTCTTCAGACATGGCAACTCGCAGAAGAAGTAGACGTGCAGTCTCTTCCATCAAGAAATCCTACAAAGCAATTGATGCCCCAAACTGTCTCGCTTGCCACCCCTACCCAAACGTCGTCGACCCTAGATGGCGCCTCAGTGACCCTCGCCGCTCACGCTGTGGCGCAGCAGCAACAACAACAGCAGAGCCAGACTCAAAGCAGACCTGGTCTAGGCAACCGTGAGGTCCGCATAGATGTGTTAGGCGATTATTCTTCTAAGCTAACCTGTACTTTACCCAGGCTGACGGCGGGTGGTGTTTGAACTGGTGTAAAGATAGATATTGGGGAGAGATCGTTGCTGTAGGCTGTGGCGTAAACGGGATCGTGAAGGTACTGCCCCTTCCACGGCTCGCCTATAAACATGCTCATCTTGTCGCAGATAATCCAAGTATCCAATGCTCAGCGTCCTGCAACCCTTCTTGTGCTCGATCCATCACCACCATCGCGCGCCACCGGTGGGGAAGGCACGCCCAGGACCCCAGCCCAGCCTGACGGAGAGTCTCCTGCACCATACTCTGTGACATCTGTTGCATGGGCACCATCCTGTGGACGGTCATACCACCTCGTCGCCACCGGCAGCAGAGATGGCCATGTTAGGATATGGCGCGTCAAGCCGCCAACTCCTATGGACGATGGGGATCATGAAGACGTAGATGCAGATGAAGGGTCATGGACTGCGTATGTTTTTCTTGGAGCAAATTCATGGGAGTCATGCTAACGTTGGCGGTAGGTCTATCGTGGGGGACTTTGATGACCACAAGTACTACTATTCGCCTCCCTCTCCGTTTCCGCTGTCAGCTTACGTATTCTTCTAGGTCCGCAATCGGGCGAGTGGAATGGAATATCACTGGGTGCGTAGCCCTCGCTCAGCTGCATCTTCTATACGCTAAAATAGTCTATTAGGACGGTCCTCTCTTCGTCGGGCAACGACGGTCGTGTGCGCCTTTGGAAGGCAACTGCAGGAAACGTGTGGCGCCCGGCAGGTCACATCAGTGTCGAGCAGGCTGAGGAGCAACAGAACGATGTGGAGATGGACGATAACGCAGTCCAAGAGTAACGTACCGGTCCTGTAAATGGATTTTGTTCTCTTCCCAGTCTCACGGCTCTCGCGACGGAGGCAGTTCTGTATCTGCCGGCTAACATTCTCCGTGACGTACCAGGAGTTCCCTGTGCCTGGTTATCAGTGCTAAGTCTGCGAAAGAAGCCGTAGGTTCACGGCTTGAGTGGACAGTCGTGCAAATAGGCCGACCTCTATTAGTTCGATTTCAGCGAGGGAGGGCCGCCAGGCGCCAGGCGCGCTTCGCTCCGCTGGATTGATGGCATAGCTTTGTGCTGACTGCGACTCCGCCTCGCAGCAAACGACGTCCACGGCAGACCTGTGTCCTCCGAGCAGACTGAGCCCCACGCCTCGCTTTCGCCTCATGTCCATTGTTCGAGCCTAGCGCAAGTTTTGACGCCCCCGCTCGACCGGGGCAACCTTATCGTATCAGGCTCCTCGTGCACGCCGGGTTCTATAACTGACCGTTACATTGACATGGGCCTCCCTCGATAACCCCCGCCACAAACTGCAGACGCTCCCTCCCCCCCTCTCATTCCCCTGACGGCCCTCGCGAGCCCAGCGATGTCCGGCGACGAACGATGTCCGACTCGGTTCGACTTCGGTGTCAGGCTCGGCCTTGTGTTCATCGTGGAGACGGCGTGCCTGTCCGCCATCGCGAGCGCCGCGCTGCTAGTATACATTGGCGTACGTGGCTTCTTTTTCCTACCACCCCCGCACCTGCAATGCTAATGTGATGTGATGTGAGAACAGTACAGCGCAGCCAAGATCAGGCGGAACGCGGCGAGGAAGTGGACTGTCACGACCCACGTGCATTGGTATTTTCTCAGTCTCCTCGTGTCAGAATTGATTCAGGCCATAGGTCAGTTCTATTGAACTATCGGCGATTCCCTACTTTGCTGACACTGCTATCAGGAGGGATCATAAATGTGAAGTGGATCGCAGATGCAGTGAGTTCGTGACGCACTCTAGTTTCCCTCCAGAGATTGACCTGCGAGATTGCCAGGAAGTAACGCAGGGTGGTGTGTGCACTGCACAAGGTACGCAACGCCTGATTCTTGCCGTTTGTACAAAATACTGAGCCATCTGTCAATATCAGGCGTTCTCAAACAGTCTGGCGACGTCGGTGTCGCCCTAGCGTATGTCCCCCAAAGTGATCTTCCGCAGCATCTACTCAACTTCCCCGCAGAGTGCTTGCAATTGCTCTGCACACATTCTTTACTCTGGTTTTCCGATGGAGGCCAGATCCAGCAAGCAAGCTTCCCCTCCTCGTGGTCTCAGCTATCTGGATTGCTATCGCCCTCATCATCGGAATAAGCTTTGCGACCCACCGGCATAAGGTTTATTATGGAGATACACAGTACTGTAGGTGTCCGGTCAACCAGCTTCATGTCAACCCAGTGCTAATGGCAACGCGCCAGGGTGTTGGATCACCTCCGAGTACCCAGTACAACGCATCGTCCTAGAGTATCTGTGGATGTGGATCACAGCCTTTGTCAACATTGCTCTCTATATCCCCATGGCGCTCGCCATCCTCTACGATGCTACTGTCGCTGTTAACGGATGGCATGTACGCATTGTCAAGAACCCTAAGACATATCGCGATGACCGCCGACTCGAGATGAGGATAGCGATCAAAATGCTCGTGTATCCTGCAGTCTACACCATCACAGTATGCGCATCCCCTTAGCATGCTTCCCACATCGCACTAACCCAACACAGGTCCTCCCCATCGCCATCTGCCGTTTTCTCGGCTTCGACTCCCAGGGCTGCAGCCGCGTGCCATGGCCGGCGACAGTCTTCGCCGACCTCATCTTCGCGTCCTCGGGCTTCTTCAACGTCCTTCTTTACACCGTTACGCGCCCAAACCTCCGCCCGCACCGCAAAACCCCCGAGCGCTCCACGCTTATGCTCACCCCACACTCCGATCCCGGAACGGCCTCTTCGACTCTCTCAAAAAGAGGGGGCAGCTAGGCAATTGAGTCCAGGACGAGCGACCTCGAGCTGCGTGTGCCTCAAACGACATCATGACTATAAATGTACCATGTGTGACATATCATTGAGTAAGCATGCTCCTTCCGTGCAAGTGACGACGCTGAACAGAGCCGCCAGTCTATAGACATCTCAAGACGGTCTTGAAGCCGTACAAGTTGTACAATGCCCCCTAGTGTCCTCGGAGCCTATACCCGACCCAAGTTGCAAACGACTTACTCTCCACATCTGCAGTATACCACCCTATTGTTATGGACTAATCTAATCCCACACTACGCACTGAAATCTGTGGATCACCACTGAGCGATACGTCGCATCCCCTTGGCTCGCGTACGCACCTCCACGCAGGCGGCCACTCGACCTGCACCGTGCGTTGGAAGCGCTCGACCCAGCCGTCGCGGAGGGCGGCGACGACGGCGAGGTGCCGCGGCGAAAGCGCGACGCTGACGAGGAGCGCATCCTCGGCCTCGAGGAAGCGCGCGAGCGCGCCGAGCACGCGCGGGTCGCTCACGTCGTAGTGCGCGCACCGCAATATCGACGGCTGCGTCTCGGCGTTGATGTTCACGACCGTGACCTCGGGCTGCTCGGCTGCCACAGCTTTGTACGCGGGCGAGGCGACGAGGGGGAATGGTTTAGGTGTTTTGTGCTGCGAGTCCGTGATTTCGGAGTCATTACTGCATCACAGATATTCGCCTGTATTTCAGCGCGGCGAAGGTTCTGCTTGAGCTGCACGGGACACTCCTTCGCCGACTTTCCCGCAATATCTCAGGGCTTTCTCGGGGTCCACGTTGCATCTGGACAATCTTAGTGTACTAGTCCTTGGCGTCCTGAGAGTTATGAAAGGTATATAGAACTAGAACAATGTGTCCTATACATACATGTATCATGTATAACATGGCTGCCGTCTACTCAGGGTTTCACGACGATCTTAACCGCATCTCGACTATTCATCTTATCTAGCGCTTCCTGGTATTGGCTGATCTTGAACACGTCCGTTACCATTCCCTTCACCTTGATCTTCCCGCTATCGAGGTAAGCCACCGCGCGAGGAAAACAATGGGCCTGCGCGAACGAGCCGATAATCTAGTGCTCCAAAGTTAATCGGGCGGTTTTTTCAAGAACGTTCAGACACATACCCGGATCTCGTCGACAAATATCTTGGATGGCGGCCAATGTACCCTCGCCGCGTTGTCGTACACACCATAAACCATGAGTGTGCCGCCCCGTCTGACGTAATGTATCGCATCGTTTGCGACCTTCTCCGAGCCCGTCGCCTCCACGACAACGTCGAAACCGTACGGGTTCTCCTTCTTGAGCTGCTCCCACTGGGGCCCAGCGTCTGCGCGGTCGAGCTCGACGTACTCGTCCGCAGCACCAAGCTCCCGCGCGACCTGCGTCTTGATGCCCTTGTTCGCGGCGACGACTATGCGAGCCGCGCCATTCTGCTTGAGGAGCTGCGCGAGGATGAGGCCTGTGGGACCCGCACCGATCACGAGGGCTTCGAGACCGACACCGGGGTTGAGCTGGTCGAGCCCATGGATGGCGCACGCGGCGGGCTCGACGAGCGTTGCCTCCTCGTCCGAAAGGCTATGGATCTTGTACACCTTGTTTGCGGCGCTGTGTACAAGACTTAGCGCCTTATGCACAGCTGCCTTGGAGCAACATGGGCGTACAATGTGCAGTATTCTGCGAAGCCTCCGTCGCAGGAGACGCCGACACCCAGGAAATTCTCGCACAGTATAGTCTTCCCTCTGCGACAATAGAAGCACTCGCCACACTGGGTAGGTCTGTTAGATCCAGGTAAGGTGGAAGTTATCGTATGGACTGACAGTGATGCCGGGGTCGGCGACACATCGGTCGCCTTTGACGAAGCCAGTGACATTCTTACCCCAGCTCTCAATCACTCCCACAACTTCGTGACCTGGGATAAGCTGTAGATTTCATGGTTCAGCAAATCATCGCGCGGCGATGCAATCGTCGCCGTACAGGGAATTTCGCGATGAATTCGCCTTCGTGCACATGTCCATCTGTACCGCATACGCCTGGAAGTGCCACAAAGCTTGAATACGGTGCGAGCGAGACATACTCGTTTAGTGACGCGTACCGCAACACACAACTGCAGGGATTTATGTGAGCCTTGACGCATTCTGAGAAGATGCCTCACCTTTGAAGAGTACCTCAGCGTCTCCAGGGACAGGAATGGGCACTTTGCGTAATTCGAATTGCCTGGGCTGCGACAAGTCGGATTAACCGCTTCGAACTGAGGACGCAAAGCAGCGACAAACCGCCTGATAGTATACAGCTTCCATGACACTCGCGTCCTGTAGGGATACAGGGAGCGAAAGAGCAAAGATGCGTCCTGCCTAGGCCTCGTGCTGCCTTTATATGCGGCACACGACGTGGAATCATCTCTCCGGAGGGCCGTTATGTTCCCGCTTGTCCCGTAAACCCCATTCTCGTGATCAGTCACTCGGTAGCTGGTGAGACGCTTACCGAGGGTGGTATCGATCCTTCATAAACCCTATCTCGATCTCGAGCTCGAGCTGGTTACAGTAGAGCGTGTGCTGACCTACCGGTCCGGCGTACCGGAAATTGACTAGCCAGGAATTTTCAAGGTCTACCAAGGGGGAGGGTCAGGCTAGAATGATGTTCCATACGAGATATACAATGCGCTATGCGGATATACACTATGTTCATTGAAAGTACAAAGAAATAATTGCTGAAGTACATGGTAAGCGCATTTGCTGACGAACGAAAGAGAAGACGTGGTTCACCAACATGTGACATGAATTGATAAATAAATAAAATGAACCTCTTAATTTAACGCCTTTCTTGCATCGAATGGATCGCCAATCTTCTCCATCGCAGTCCCGATAGCAAGCTCTGCGCCCACGAGGGGCGATTGGCTTGTCTCGACATGTCCAGCGATGGCCCGTGTCGTACCCTGGCCACCAGTCCTGTAGTGATCGGCGACAACTCGGCAGACCCCCTCGAGAGTCGTATAATGATTTGTATACCCAAGCCCGCCCTTCTCTGGCGGTGCACGTGCGCGAGAATCGTCAAAATACAGATGGACGTTGGTTAGTGCGAACATCGACGGCTGCAAGAAGACGATTTCGCCCAATAGCTGCGGGAGGAGGCTGCCGAGAAACGCAAAGCGGGATTTAATAAGGAACCGGCGGCCCAGGTAGTATAACTCCACGAGCTGCGCTACGCCGAGCATTGCTGTAGGCGACAGGTTGTGATACCTGACCTTGCCACCGCTGAGCACTTCGGTCGCAAAGTGGATGTCCCCGGACGTAGGCGGCGGCCCCATATCAGCAATACAGAAGGCGTCGCCACCAATGTCCGGATGCGTGCTACCGTTCTCGAGCTCTATGAGCCGCTGCTCGTACAGAAGGTGCGCCAGGGAGCAGTTTTCGACGTAGGTGTAGGATTGCATGATAGCATGGAGCCACGTCGGATTGTACTTCCTAACCATATATGCACCGACGAGCAAATCTCCACCAGGGCCGAAAACGCCATTGCCTGGGCGGATGCAGCCCGTGCGCAAAACCTTGCCGTCGTTCGACTCTGAGCGGTCCGCAGCGCGCACGCGGCGTTCGGCCGCGAGTTTCGATACCGCATAGTTGGAGAAGAACTGGTCGTGTCGCTTTGGCAGGTTTGAGTCGTCGTCATTAATGACCTGAGTGAAGTGTTTCGGCTCTTTTTGCCAGGGGAGCAGCCAAAAGCAGCTGCGGCGTACGCCGACTGAGCCGGAGGACGTGTAGATTATAATGCGCACGCCGACGTCACGTGCAGCGTCAAGGATGTTCTGCGTTCCGTGTACGTTAACGTTTTCAGAGAGGTACAGGAGATCGGGGTGTCGCTCGAAGAAACGGATGACCGACGCAGTGTGGAAGACCGTGACCTCAGGGTCCGGGGCGCCGGGTATGTCGGATGCAACCTTTGGCCAACGCTTGTTGAATGCCTTGAAGACGGCGTCGCGGTCTGAGACGTCGACCTTTATGAAATCTACCTCTCTGGCCCGGCCTTCTTGGAGATCCTGGCGGACAGGGAGCCGGATGTCTAGGACTCGAATTCTGCGCGGATCCTCGCCACGCTGCAAGAGGTGGAGAACGATCCATCCACCCAGGAAGCCGGCCTACAACGTCGAACGCAATCAGAAGAGACCAAACCAACCGGCATAGCACACTCACTCCTCCAACTACAATATACCTTCTGCCAGTCCTTGGTGGAAGCTTCTCATCCAGTACAGAGATTGGCCCGTCTTTCAGGCCCGCATAGCATAACTCTATCTTCTCCTTCGTCCACCGTTCGGGCGAGATACGAGCAGCTTCTGTGGGCAACTGCTCCAACTTCGCGTCGTTCAACCAGACATAGAGAACAAGCAGTAGCGGGATTGCGAGGAGCGCGAGCGCGGGCACGTTCATGGCCAAGATGTCGTCGGGATGTTGAGCGTGCCCCCGGGAAAGCGGTGGCCAGTCAAGTTCAACTTCACGACGCGAAGACGTTTAAAAACCGCAGAGAGCGGCAGACGGTCGGTTGAGAATCGCTAAGGATCGATTGTGGGAGTTGTGGTGTGAACTTGAGAAGAAGCGAGTCTTTAGTCATGGCAAAGGCCGAGCGCGACATCCGAAACTGTCTATGATCGGCAGAGTAGAGGTGTTCAGACGATGAGTGTGAGGCGATACCACCGGTTTGTGAGTGCGATTCTGGAATCTAAGTCACACATCAAAATATCAAATCGCCGCTCACTCTGAACGCTCCACGCGCGCCTTGCGATTCTTGAACCACTCGATTTCATGAGCCTTGAGTCCAGCTACTGAAGTACTGAAGTGCTGAACCTACGTAGACTTGCGAGGCTCTGGATAAGTATTTTATAAGCTTAGCTCTTACTGGCTCACAGGATTTTGGTAGCAATCCAGCTGCCCGCTCGCGTACGGGTGGGAGAAATTCCGAAAAAAAGTACATCCTGACTATAACTGAATAGAACAAATCTCAGTTTCTGAGTGGCGTTAACGACTATACATCGCGAGCATGGAGGCAGCGTATACGGGGAGTTGAGCAGAGTCGAGTGCGCATCGCCTCCAGAGGCAATTCGACACTCGATCCCGGTTAGAAGTCGATCCAGTAATGCACCGCTTTGCACGACCATCCGATCAGTCTCAGTCGATAAACCGTATATATCACCGGTTGATCTCACAATGTCATTGATGAAGCTGCCTGTGTCACTTTGTACTAAGGATAAGAAAGCGAGGTAAGCAGAATACAACTGCGGGAACATTGGCATGGTTGGTTTCGCTATATTGGTCCCAAACATATCAAATGTCAGGATCGAACTCTGAGCACCCTTAATATGCAGAGCCAGTGAAAGCGATGCATTCATAACCAGCGCCAGGTAGATAGACAGCATATACACCAAGAGCTGTACGGACATACAGAGCAGATACACTACTCGGGAGGGGGCGGAGGGGGGGCAGGCTCGCTCGGCGGAGGTGCAGGCGCACCATCCTGGCCGGGGGCACTCGCGGTGGCCGCGCTGTAGCCTGCTTGAGCATAATACTGCGCGTACTGCTGCTGTTGCTGGGCCTGCCAGGCTTTGAACTCGGGTGAATTCACATCGTAGCCATAAGCAGCCCTAAGAGAGGAATTAGCAGACTGCGAACACAAACAAAGTTAAAATCGCACCAGTATGCGGCGTAGGCGTCTGTATCGCTTGCAGAGGGCGCACCGGCAACTTGTCCAGATTGGTCGCCAGGCGAAGGTGGTGCGCTGCCATCTGGTGGAGGAGGAGGTTGCTCTCCTGGAGGAGGCGGAGGAGGGGCGGCGCCGGGCTGAGGTGGTGCATATCCCTGTATCGTCAAACAAACAAAAGCAAGGGTACAAGTTAGCCGCCTAACGTTATTGATATACAGACCAAGATCAAGTTGCATTTGCGACTGTCAGGTGCGCAAAGACGCAGTACCGAGGACCAACATGAGTGAAGCATACATACGGCGTAAGCACTGTAGGCGGCGTACTGGGCTTGTGCTTGATGAAGCTCCATTTGTTGCTGTTGCAGGAGGGTTTTAACCTTGGCGTACTCTTGACGAACAACCTCAAGCAAGTCTTCGGTTAAAACCTTCGCACGCTGAACCTGGCCTTCATCAGGGCCTCTGCGTAAAGTACATCAGCACAAGTATATGATCGCCACAGGACCACAACATACGTGACGTGAATGTACATGGGCTCGTCGTGCTCTTGACCCGTCTCCTGATCGACAAAGCCGGACCCGATGCCCTTAATTTGAACTCGAGTACCAGTTTCCTGCTGGATGTACTTGACAAACATACCCTACAGAAAACAATTTGGCAAGCAGCTCGGTCAACCAGAAAATTGTGACATACCGATGGCCCGACAACCTTCGCACGAACGTTGAAGTTCCTAATCGTCTCAAGACCCACTGGGATTTTCTCTTCAGGCCATTTTCTCTGCGAAAAGTGTGAGAAGCGATCAGGAAAAGGTGTACACTACGCACCTTCTCTCTACGATCCTTCTTATCTTCGACGAGAGAGCCCATGTCCAAGGCAATCAGTTCATTGACCTTGTCCGTCGCATTTTGCAGCATCTCTGGTGTAGTAGCGGAGATGTGAAGGTAAAGGGGAGGATCCTTCTCATTAGCCTTTGTACGGTCCGGATACCATACTCCCTTGGTGCTGACGGATGCTCCAGTATCTTCGTGAATCTATGAAGTAGAATGGTATTATGAGCAAACGAACGCAAGGCAAGGTTTAGGCGGACGAGCCTGTGTCTGTGTAGCACCCTTCGTCAATAGATACCTGTTGCGTACGTCGTTGATGTCAATATCGTGAGTGAAGTCGCCATCATGAGGATCCTTTGGTCCCAAGGAGCTCCCTGAGCTGGGAGCATTGGCGAACTGGGCGGCGATTTTTGCCGCAATGGCAGCAGCGGCTGCTGCTGCTTCGGAGGCCGTTTTGCCCTCGTCAGTCTTGGGTGCCTTTGCAGGTGAATCTACCTCGGCGGGGGCAGCCTGGTCCCACTTGCGTTTTGATGACATGGCGAGTAGAAAGCACGAGCAGGAGTCGAACTGACGGTGTGCGCAGCGACAAGTTTGTGGAAGGGCGTCAAACTTGGACGCTAGGCGACGGCGGCGCTGTTTACCGCCCCGAAAGCTTTGGGCGTGTTTTGTTTGGGCGTCTGTATGAGTCCGAATTTTTGCTCGCACGGCTTCTTTATAAACCCCCCGAGAGACTGTCTTCTACTCCGCGGTCTCGACGTCCACGACCACCATCTCATCGTCGTAGCCAGTCATCATGGCTACCCCCTGGATGAGGGCCGCGTTGGCCTCATCATCTGTCCTGCTTCGAGCCAGCAGGCCTGGACGAGTGCTCTCCAAGCGTGGTTCGTAACTTCTGTTCTCCTCACTTCGGCCAACGTGCTCACGAAGACGTAGCCGCGCTGTCGTCTCTCAGGCTCGCTTCGACAGCCGCGACTCAGTCGCTGTTGACGCCATCACGAACTGAAGTCGATAGTGAAGAGACCGACGAAGATGGCGCGTCTGCCGTCGGCAACCACCAACCAAAATTCGCAACGTTGGCTGGCAAGGTCTCAGCACAGACCCTCAGGGCTATCTCTGGCATCTTCAAAATCGACACGATGAGTGTTGTTCAAACTGTCGTCCTCCCTCTCCTCCCCAACCTCGCCGAACCGTACAACCCACAGAACAAGGAGGCTCGAGATTTACTCGTGAAAGCGAGGACTGGTACTGGCAAAACTTTGGCTTTCCTCATTCCGGCAGTAGAAGCTCGCATGAAAGCTCTCGATGCTGCCGGCAAACAGGCTGTTATCGACGCTGGGCTCAAGAATGACCACCACATCGAGATGCGTGCTCAGCGCGCACTCTCTCGGGAAACAGCCGGTACACTTATCATCTCTCCGACACGTGAATTGGCGACCCAGATCGCCAATGAGGCTCTCCGGTTAACTACTCGTCATGAAGGTTTCGAAGTCAGGCTCTTCGTCGGTGGTACCAGTAAGCGCATGCAAATGCGTGACTGGATGCGCGGTCGTCGAGATATCGTTGTTGCGACTCCTGGCCGTATGCGAGATCTCCTCGAGAACGAACCTGAGGTTGCGAAGGGTATGAAGGACTGCAAGATGGTACGTGCCTTTCTACTGTTTTGTTCCAGTGAGTGCTCATATTATAAACTTCAGCTCATCTTGGACGAAGCCGATACTCTCCTTGAGATGGGTTTCCGTGAGGATATTCAGGCCATCACGTCCTATATTGCGAAAACCCCCGAACGTCAGACTTTCCTCTTCTCCGCTACTGTTTCCCGTGAGATTCAGCAGATTGCACGGGCCACACTGGACAGGAACCACCGCTTCATTGACTGTGTTCCTGTTGACTCGTCCCCCGTCCACGCGCACGTGCCTCAGTATCACACCGTTCTCCCTACGGCCGCCCACCAGATCCCGCACATACTGCGCCTGCTTGCTCACGATCAGCTCCTTCACCCCGGCAAATCGAAAACTATCATTTTCCTGCCGACCACCAAGTTGACGCAGCTGTTCTCAACCTTCATTCGTGAGCTTTCCAGCATGTGCTTGCCCGCCGGCAGGAACACCAGAATTTATGAGATCCACTCCAAGCGTACCATGGAGTCTCGCTCAAAGACCTCTCAGCAGTTCCGCATGGACAAGGGCAACTCCGTTCTTATCTCTTCGGATGTCTCCGCTCGTGGAGTTGACTACCCTGGTGTCACGCGCGTGATCCAGGTCGGCATACCCAGCAGCACCGATCAGTACGTCCACCGTGTCGGCCGTACTGGTCGTGGCAGAGACAAAGTCGGCCGCGCGGACCTGGTTCTCCTCCCCTGGGAGATCGGCTTCGTGACATGGCAGCTCACCGACATCCCGCTGCGACCTGTGACCGTCACCGAGCTCACATCGCAGGTCAAGCAGCTGTGCGAAGAGCAAAACCCGGACGCTGCGGTCGTCATTGACGACATGGACGCCGAGGTCAAGCGCCTGATGGCGAAACTCGACCCGGAGGCGATCAAGGAGACACTCGCGTCGGTGCTCGGGTACTACGTCGGCAAGAGCGGCGAGCTCCGCGTGCAGAAGACCGTCATCGTCGAGGGCCTCAAGCAGTGGACCGTCGAGGCCTGCGGACTGTCCTCGCCGCCGTACATCTCGGACAGCTTCCTCGAGAAGCTCGGCATGTCGGACGGCCGCACCAAGAACTTTGGCACCAACCGACGCTTCTCGTACTCCTCCGACGGCCCGGCGTGGCAGATGCGTGGCAACGTCGAGAAGAACCGCCACCGGATGGGGACGGAACGTCGCGAGTCTGAACGCGAGCGTCGCGGCGGCGGCAGCTATGGCGGCAGCAGCTATGGCGATCGCCCTCGCTATGACCGTGACGATCGCCCCCGCCGCTCGTATGGGTTCGACAGCCGACCGTCGGGTCGTCCAGAGTCGTTCTAGTCATCCACTACCGCCACCACCCCTACTCTCAGTATCACCTATATTGTAGATGTTTTATCTTAGCATGCTTTCCGTCCTGTAATTCTCTCGTTGTCAACTCGCTTTGGGCTGATGCCTCTCGCAGGCCAATTAGAACGCCATCTATGCAAAAAAGGCCTGTGCAGGGTTGAAATAAAATGATACACGCGGGCTATACTACGTCTAAGACAAGTTTCCAAAGATTTCACTGGTCGCTCGACATCACGACCTCCTTGCCGCGCGCCGTCGGCTCGGTGTTGCGCAGCTCGGCCTCGCTCACCATCGCATGCACGGGGTGGGGTGGCTTGAAGGTCTTGAGTTGTAGCTCGAGCTGCTCTTCGAGTACCTTGAGGCCGGAGGCGGCGGCGACGAACCCGAGGAAGGGCGGAGACGGGTTGAGCGGGCGCGTGCAAAACTCGGGGTGCGCCTGGAGGCCGACAAAGTACGGGTGATCTGCGCGAGCTCGATGAGTAACTCCTAGGGAGACGGCAGACGCGCATACACGTACCTGGCAGCTCGAGCACCTGCATGCGCTCGCCCTTCTCGTCCTTGCCGACGAACGCGAGCCCGCTCTCGGCAAGGCGGGCTATGTACGCCGGGTTGACCTCGTACCGGTGCCGGTGGCGCTCCCAGATCTTCTCCGCGCCGCCGTAGAGCCTGCGCACCCTGCTCCAGCGCTCGGTGCCGGGCTCGAAGACGGTCGGGCGCAGGCCGAGGCGCATCGTGCCGCCCATGTGCGTCCGCGAGATCTCGGGCATGAAGATGACGACGGGGGACGCGGCGTGCTCGTCGGACTCGCTCGACAGCGCGTCTGTATTTTTTTCTAGATGAGCACGACATAGGTACTAGAGGAAGCAAAGAGAGGAGACGCACCAGGAATGCCGCAGACATTGCGCGCCCACTCAACGACGGCGAGCTGGAAGCCGAGGCAGATACCGAAGAACGGCACCTTCTGCTCGCGCGCCCACTTGATCGCGAGCATCATGCCTTCGGTTCCTCGCGTGCCGAACCCGCCGGGAACAAGGATACCGCTGAAGAGTTTGCGCATATAGACGTGAAGCATGAAAGGAAGGCCCATGCGCACCCAGCAGAGACGACAGCCTTCCAGGCATCATGATACCGCGCGGGGTTTGATACTTGGGCCTCGGGCTCAAGATCTGAGGAGTTTACCCACTGCAAGAGCGAGATGGTGAATATTGCAAGGGCGCACGATAGGAATACGCAAAGATAGTTCACCTTGAGGGTTAGTCTTCTATGGCAGCGGAACGCCGAATGCTCGAGGGCCTTTGTAACGGACATATAAGAGTCCATGAGGTCAGTATACTTGCCGACCAGCGCGATAGTGACCTCGTCGAAGACGCGTTCTTGGCTAGAGAGCAGCGAAGAAGTCACTGGCAGGTCTAGCGGTAAGGCGCCGAGATCGCGCACCGAGAGGTCATCTCTCTCCACCGACGCTCGAGGTTGTGCCCACGGTCGGTCATCTCCTTCGTGAGCTTCAGGCTCGTCAGGTTAAGGCGCTTCTGCATGAACTGGACGATGCCCTGGGACTGCAGGAGCAGCGGTACATGGTACACCGACGCGACATCATGGACGCCGATGACCTGCTCGGCGGAGACGTGGCAGAACATGGAGATCTTCTCCTTTGTCGCGGGCTCGAGCGGCTTCTGGACGATGAGACGGCACGCGATGAGGTCGGGCAGGAGTCCAAGTCCGCGCAGGGCGTGCACTGTGGTCTGTGTCGGTTTCGTCTTCTGTTCGCCGTGCATATCGGGGACGAGAGACACGTGAATAAGGGCAAAGTTCTCGTGGCCGACGCGGAACTGGAACTGCCGCATGGCCTCAACGAACGGGGCGGATTCGATGTCACCGACGGTTCCGCCGAGCTGGAATGTAGCGTTAACAAGTCCCTCAAAATGTCACCAGAGGTGGCCACGCACTTCGACGATGCAGACATCCGGCTCTTCATCCGTGTCGTCGACAGGAATCTTCGCGACGCGCTCTACCCAGTCTTGAATGGCATTCGTAACATGGGGGACAATCTACAACGCGTCTATAGGGGGTAAAAACGGCAGTTTCCGTGGACAAGACTTACTTGGACGGTCTTTCCAAGATAGTCACCGCGCCTCTGCAAGACAAGCCGCCTGAGAGATAAGCCCAAAGGAGGGTCACCGGGGGACGCACCTCTTTCTCAATGACCTGGCTGTAGATCTTGCCAGTCGTAATGTTGTTATCACGCGACAGTGTCACGTCAAGATAACGTTCATAGTTTCCGAGATCGAGGTCGACCTCCCCGCCATCGTTCAGGACATAGACTTCTCCTGTAAACCTCGTGTTTGGCGCGTGTTCTGAAGACCTTGCAAAAGCACACCACGCACCATGTTCCTGCGGCCTCATCGTGCCAGCATCAATGTTCATGTACGGGTCGATCTTGATCGCCGTGACCTTCAGGCCTGTCGTCTTCAGCAGCAGACCAGTTGACGAGGCTGCGATGCACGGTCAGTCTTCGCCACAACCCGAGCCGCGAGTTCTGGAGCGCACCGATGACCCCCTTCCCGATACCGCTCACCACACCACCAGACACGACAATGTACTTCATGTTTTATGCGTTCTCGAGAGGAATTGACAGGGAATGTGGGTTTTAACTGCAGGACGCAGTGACTCTTTCGAGTAAGAGCCTACTTCTCAATTTTCCCGCATTTTGCGCACAGGGCGCTTAATGAACCCGATCTCATCTGAGCGCTGAGCGCGTCGGGCCTGGACGAGTCATCTCGCGATGCAAGTCGCCGAGCGGGACCGCCGCGCTCTCAAGCGGCGAGGGCGGGCTCGGCTGACCCAGTGACCTTGCACTTCCTTCCGTATGATTGCGCTCTGACCCACTGCCAAGTTTCGTTTTCTATTCTCTTACGCAGCAAGGTTCGGCACTGTAGAAGTACAACATATAAACTCTACTTTTTTTAATGGAGAGGGGGGTCTGCGTCTGAAAAGACTTTTACGCGCCACTGCGCCCGACAGCCTTCGTGATGACAGAGCTCTTGGGCAACTCCGGGAGCGGCCTCTGGGCAGCGCCAGCGTCGGGCGCAGGCAAGAAGCCGACGTCGACGAGCCACGCGAGGTACCTGCCCATGAGCGCGTCGTCGACCGTGGCGTTGGTCTGCGCGCCGTGCGGCGCGAGGAGCGCGCGCATGTTCGCGTCGGCGAGCTCGGGCGCCTTGGTGCTCGTCGGCAGGTCGTCGAGCACAAAGTGCAGGAGCGGGAACAGCGCGTTGTCCTGCGCCTCCATGACGTGCCGCTCGAGCTGCCGCCGCCACGCGACGTACTCGCTCCGCGCCGTGCCGTACCCGTGCCGCGCGAGCGCGGACAGGAACGCGTTGAACGTCGGCCGCGGGTGCGCCGCGACGTGCAGCACGCTCAGCCGGTCGCGCGGCGCGCCGAGCGGGTAGAGCGCCGCGAGCGCCGTCGCACGCGCGACGTGGTCGACGGGGACCATGTTCACCGTGTTGTTGATGTCCGGGACCTGGCCGAGCTGGATGCAGCCTTTGACCATGCGCCAGAGGAAGTCGTCCGTGTTCGTCACTGGCCCCGCGCGCACGTCAGCACCCTCCTGTCGCAAGCGCCGTCATCATCAACAAAAAACCGCACTCACCCGCACTCTCAGAGTCGCCGACGACGTAGCCCGGCCGGACGATGTGTCCGCAGAGCCCCCGCCGGCCCGCCTCGAACAGCAGCTTCTCCGCGACCCACTTGCTCTGTCCGTACCCCGTCTTGAGGCCCTCGCGCGCCCCCTCGAGGTCGTCCTCCTCCGGAACACCCCCGTGCCCGTCCGGGTCGCGCGCGAGCCCGTCCGACAGCTGCACGTAGTGGTCCGTGTCGATCGCCGACGTCGACGACACGAACACGACGAGCTTCGGCCTCGCGGTGGCCGCGAGCGCGACGGCGGCGAGCGTCCCGAGCACGTTCGCCGCCCGCAGCTTCTCGTACGGGTACACCCAGTGCACGAGCGCCCCGTTGTGCACGACCGCGTCTGCCTCCGCCGCGACGCGCGCCCACGCCGGCGGGGCCAGGCCAAAGTGCGGCGCGTCGAGGTCGCCCGCGACGGCCTCGACGCGCGCCGCGGCGACCCACGCCTCGTCCCAGACGCCGCGCGCGCCCGCGGCGTCGCGCAGCCGCTGCAGCGCGTGCGCGTCCGAGGTCGCGCGCACGAGGCAGACGACCTTTGTGACGCGCGCCGCGTCGCGGAGGAGCTCGCGCAGGACGAACGCGCCGAGGAAGCCCGTCGCGCCGGTGAGGAAGACGGTGAGCGCGCGGTCGCGGTAGTCCGCGGGCACGCTCGGGTACGCGGGCGCGAGCGTGCCGAGGAGCGCCTCGTAGTCCTGCGCGTACGCGACGCGGCCTGCTGCTGCTGCTGCTGCTGCGTGCGGCGCCGACGCGTCCGTGGGCGCCCCTGGGGCCGCCGCCGTCGGGTCCTTGTCGTCGAAGCCGAGGTCGGCGTTGCGCAGGCTGTCGATGGCGGCGGCGAGGTCCTTGATGGTGGGCTTGTCGAAGACGAGGCCGAGCGGCGCGTCGACGACGAACGCCTTGCGGACCTCGAAGATGAGACGCGTGGCGAGGATGGAGTGGCCGCCGAGGTCGAAGAAGTTTTCGTCCAGCGGGACAGGGGAGGGCGCGTTGGGGAGGATGCGCGCCCAGATCGCGCGCATGGCCTCCTCGGTGGGCGTTGCGGCGGGCCCTTCGCGACGTGGTTCGGTGGGGGCCAGCTGGGCGGTATCAGGGAACGGAAGTGCCGGTTTGTCGACCTTGCCGTTGGGATTGAGGGGCATGCGCTTGAGCGGGACGAACACTGCCGACGGCGTGAGCACAGCAAACAAAACACCAGCAACGCAACCATCAGCACGCACGCGTCGGGATACTATGCTTCGGCAGCTTCGTCTTCAAATACTCCCTCACATCCCTGATGAGCCTCCTGTACTTCCTCATGCCCCCGACGGCGCTCCCGTCGTCCTGCTCCTCCTCGCCGACGTCGCTCGCGTACGCGTCGACCCCCGGCCCGTCCACAGGCACAAAGTAGCTCACGAGGATCTTCTCCTCGTCCTTGTCGCGCCGCACGAGCGTCACGTTCTCCCGCACGAGCGCGTGCTGGCCGAGGTACGCGTCGATCTCCTTGAGCTCGATCCGGAAGCCGCGGATCTTGACCTGGTCGTCCGCGCGGCCCGTGCACTCGACGACGCCCGCGGGGGTGTACCGCCCGAGGTCGCCCGAGCGGTACATGCGGTCGCGCACGCCCTTCCAGTGCTCGGCCGCGGGGAGCCCGCGAAGCGTGTCCGCGCGCGGGGGCGCGGCGTCCGCGAACCAGTTCCGCACGAACTTCTCGGCCGTGGCGGCGGCGTCGAGGTAGCCCTCGGCGAGGCCGCCCGAGCGGACGTAGATCTCGCCGAGCTCGCCGACGGCGCAGGGCACGCGGCGGTCGCGGCGGTTGACGACGAGGAGCTGGACGTCGACCATGCCGGCGCCGGCGGGCACGACGTCCTTCTGGGTCGCGAGGAAGGTCGCGTCGGCGGCGAGGCTCGGGAGCGCGTAGTACGACACCGCCCGCTGCGTCTCCGTCGTGCCGTACATGTTGACGATGCGCACGTGCGCCGCGAGCGCCTGCAGCCGCAGGCAGTCGCGCTTCGTGAGGATGTCGCCGACGAAGAAGGCGTGCTGCAGAGACGGGATCTGGCGCGAAGCCTGCGCGGAGAGCAGTTGGCCCATCGCCGGTGTCAGGTGCGTGACCGTGACCTCGTTGTCGGCCATCCACTCTGCGAGACGGCCGGGCGTGCCGATGTCGTCGGCGGTGGGCACGTAGAGCTGCGCGCCGAAGAAGAGAGGCGTGAACACTGCAGCTCAAGCGTCAGAGCACACACTCGACCAATGGGCGGAGGCACGTACTGTCGCGCTGGATGGGATCATGGGCGATGCCACTCAACATGGTGAACCTCGAGTTCTCGCTCAACTCGAAGCGCTGGCCCATCCAGGGGAAGAAGTGTGTCAAGCTGTAGTGTCTGCCGAGCACGCCCTTGGGGATGCCCGTGCTTCCACTGGTGAACGACAAGGTACCGACGCTGTCGGGGCCGAGGACAACATCCGGGTCGGTATCCGCCAGGGGGCGCTGGCTAGCAAGAACATCTTCCGAGCCGTCGACACTTCCACCGAGGATCTGGCCGTCGGGAAGCAGCTCCAATGCAGGGACCTCGACGCGGATTTTGACCTCGTTCTGGATGAATTCGCGGACGGAAGGGCCGATGCCGCCTGCGCCCTTGAGAACAATGAGAGCGCGAGGCTGGGAAACCTGGAGGTAGATGTTTTGCCTGCTAGGAGGGTACGCGGGATCTACGATAGGGCGTGAGGGGAAATCGCGTAAACCAGGCAGAACACACGCACCTATGACCGAGAACGTTGCCCCTGCCTTCAAGATGGCCATGACTGCCACGACCAGCTCTACACACCTATACGCGTAGACCATGATCACCTCCTCTCTCTGAACACCTCCCTGGAGCAGATGGTGGGCCAAGATGTTGGACGCATGGCGGACTTGGCCGTACGTGAAGGTGATCTTCTCTTGTGGCGCGTCGAGGTCGGGCGACGGCAGGCACTGGACGACGCAGGGCCTGTCGGGGAACTGCTTGGCGTTCTGGGAGAAGATGTCGGGGATGGCGCCCTTCCAGTCACACCAGTTGAGGTCTGCGGTCGGGTCGGGGAGCAGGGCGCGTTGCGCCGGGGTGAGGAGGGGCACAGAACCGACGGGCGAGAGCGGGTTTGAGGCGACCTTGCGGAGGAAGATGGAGAGCTGCTCGACGATAAAGTCGATGCGGCTGGGAGAGAAGAGGAGGGAGTTGTAGATGATGCGGAGCGAGATGCGAGGTGTCAGGGACGTGCGGGCGGTGGTGTCTGGTTGGCGGGTGACGAAGACGGTGAGGTCGGAGGTGAGGCTGGTCGTCCTGAGGTAGTTCTCCATGTGCTCGTCAGTCTCGTCGAAGAACCGGACGCGGAAGAGAGGGCGGGAGCTGTCGACGCTGTCGGGCTTGTCCTTGTTCAAAGCGCGCACGATGGTCTCGTACGGCAGCGCATCGTCCTCGGCCTCCTTCTCGACCTGCTGCACCTTGCGGACCACGGTCCAGAAGGGATCGCTGGGGTCTACGGGTACGCGCAGCACGAGGGGATCGCGAGCGAGAGCAGACGACGAGCCGATGAGCAGATCGGTCTCGCCGGTGTATCGATGGAGGAGAACGGAGAAGGCAGATAGCAGGAGTTGGAAGGCCGAAGGAGTGTTGTTTCTGGACACGTCTTCGTCGTCGTCGCCTTGGTCCTCGTCGTAGGTGGCGAGCTTGAGCAGGCCGAGGCACGTCTGCTCAGAGAGGTCGGCGGAGACGGCAGCCTCGATGAGCCTGTTTCCTCCGAGCTGGCGGGGGTAGTCTGTCGGCAGCGAGATCTCGGGGAGGTTTTGGAGGCGCGACACGACGCGCTGAAGGCGTCCGTCGGCCATTTTTGGGCGACGCTGGAAGCAAAAGAGAGCGAGTGCATTTTATTGATTTTGCAGGCGACCAGGGTGACTCGGCTTCGGCGCTCGCCATCGGCCGAGCCAAAGCCTTTGTGGCGGCCACGTGTACTACCCTTGGCGCCAGCGCTTATGCGCACAGGCGCCGTCGGCGCCCACTATAGCCGAAGGTGCCGATGCAGGCGACTGGCAAATGGTTGGTAGACAACCACCACCTCTCAGGCTCAGTGAAGATCCGCGCCGCTCAGGGCCACGGGGAAACACGTCGTGCTAAGGGAGATGAGCTGAGCTGCTTGGGGCAACTTGAGATACCTGCGGATAACTCCCTTCTCTCCGACACATCCTGTCCCAAGTTGGCTCACAGCGTGACCTGTCCCGCATCCCAATCCAACATGTTTGGACTCCCATTATATACCATCGGACCTCTGAGTTAAGTTTATCATGCATATACTGCTCCTGCTTGACATTAAGCTGCTCGACTCTCTTTCCCCCGCTTTCCTCTGCTCTTGGAGGCTGCGCTGGCTTTGAGTGCATCTCCCCCCCCAATAGGTGTCTTTTTGGACTTCTTTCGAGCTGATAACATTGTTGCACTTTTGTGTAGGCTTCTGTTGACAGCGCCGCGAGCAAGGTAGGGTCCCCGGATGCTGGAACTCACTCTTCTCAGGGTATCAAGGTTGCAAACTCGCGCGATCGTCGCGCGGCAACCACAGCGGCTCGAGGTGAGAGATCCTAGCCCGCCGTTTGGTCATGAGTTGCTCGCCTTGGTTCTTTAGCTCCGTCACGACAATGCGCGCGGCGGCGGTGTGGCACGCGGCCTGCGGCGGGCGGTACGCCGCAGTCACAGATGTGCGGCGTGGGAAGTGGCTAGAAGCGGCGTGGTTTCAAATGTCTGTCTGTGGATTAGCACATATTGTAATGGATTGCAATGTAGTGATGCATGATCAGACATACGAGAATTACATGGACAGGCCGGAAAACCATGAGTAGCCACGCTAAGCCGCTGGCTAACGACTCCCGGACTCAAATCGCACCGACGTGGATCCGAGCGCACGAACTTGGTTCGAGGCGTGCTCAATTCTACATGGATCGGAGAGAAGCTACTGCCTATCCGAGCCACTTTGAGCCACGTCCTTGATAAGGCGCGGTTTCACATAGCCCCGCGCGGTGCGGGTTTTCACGGTCTCAGAATCTCAGGCTCGGTCGCTCGATCTCAGATCTCAACGTTCTCAGTGTCAATAATTTGCTGGGATGCGTCGCCGTCGGCCTTTGTATGCCGCTCAATATAAGCCCTAGCCGAGTCGGAGCGCCTACTAGCCCTTGCTTTGCTGTCTCCTTCTCGCCATGAGTACGATGGAGCTTGCGATGAAACATCGTAGCGATTGCGTTCACATCAATTATGCCGTGTTTCTCGGGAGCGGGAGACCCGCGGCGCTCACGAGCCTCTATTGGCTTTACCGCTCAAGTACCTCTTCCAAGCACAGAGTGGCTGGGTGCGCGGCTGCAAGATGTTCTCAGGTCTGAATTTCAGGCTCGAACGGGTCGGAAAACTTATGACTCGGACTTGCTCTCTGCACTAGTAACACGATGATTTTCCTATGCCAATTCGGCCGCCGGCTTGTGCCGCTCTGTCCCGCATATGCATCAAACTCATTGACAACGTCTGCGCATCAATCAAGGAACAGATCGGGAATGTTTGGACACAATACAATGAGTTCGGCGCCATACATTAGCCCCAGCGCGCAGCGCTACGCCCCACGCGTGCTGACTGGCAGGGCAGGCGGTATAAAAGGGCTTTCAAGTCCTCAGTGATTCCTCAGACTTGACGACTCACCAGCACACTTCTTCCTCTTCACCCCCTACCCTGCGCTTTTCGGTCTATCATGTTCTTCAGCAGCCGGTCCGCCCTCGTTTCTGCCTTCCTGCTCGTGGCGTCAGTTCAGCAAGGCTTGGCTGTCTGCTCTTCGGGTCAAATGGGTGAGTATTCCGTATTGCTGTCTTCTCCGGTCTTGGCTCATATCGTCCTTGCAGCTGTCGGTACTGAATTTGTCAGTCCAAGCCCAGCCAATCTTTTAATATCTTGATCACTGACCGGACTATGCTCTCTTCCGTGTAATAGCTTCAAGAGGTACGTCCACATGTGTTTCATCCGAGTACATACCTCACGCCCGCGCCCACAGTTCACTGGGCCTAATTCCGCCTTCAACGAATATAGTGGCTTCTTGATGGCAAACAACTGTGGCCTCATCGCGCAGAACGGCCTCACGCAGGCTACGGACCAGATGTGCAAAGGTGGGTACAACAAGGGTGCCTCGGTTACGTGCGACAGCAGCGGAAAGTACGTACATCCTACCGAGGCTTGCGACGTGTGTGTCTGATATTCCGTCGCCGTCTCTTAGCCCTATCGCTGCTGTTGATACAGAGGGCCAGAGTTGGACGTGCTCTGCGACGAACGACGATAGCTGTGATGTCGGAGGCTCTGGAGGAAGATTCACGGTCCTGGCTTGCTGCAACCGTAATTAGATGCAATGTCGTAACCTAAAGGCTGCACGACACTTCACTCCGTGCTCATCATCTCGCCCTCTTTTCTTTTCTACCTCTGTCTTTTCGACTGTCGCGTCTCCTTTACCCCCTTTTGCGTCTTCTCCTTCGCTGTTTGCATCGCTTTTCGTGCTAAGCTGCGCCGAAAGTGTTGAGTTCATGTAAACAAATTTGTACGACAGTTAGAAAAAAATTAACATGCCGCTCTGAATCCCATGCATGGGTTACCACGAGTGCGAATACCGGCAAGATGATCCGCGTGTGTGTGCAAGCCATTGCTAGTGTCGACCCAGATCTTTCGAGGACCCGTGAAAGCACGGGAGCTTAATCCAGTGTGGATCCATCCATATGCGGGTAGTCCCACGGCTCCACTCGTGAGTACTCGCAGAGGATCCTTACTCGTGCAGAGCTTTACGGCACCAGACTTGTCCTTCGAGCGGAGAAATTTTCTCTCTCTCCCAGGATACATCTCGTGCCAATTCTGTCGTTGTTCGAGCGTTGTCCGCTGCGCGTAGGCTTCTGAATGCATTAGTACTAGCTGCTTTGCGCACATCAGGTGATCATAAACGTCTCGCAAGCGGCAAGTCTGCTACTACCTTGCCATATGGTTGCTGTGGAAAAGCGGCGCAAAGACGATTATAGTAGTATGGACACCTGATATCTGACTGATACCTGCAGCCATTTTGGTAGACACTGGCTTAAGGACAGGTTGATGAGCTCGGTGATTTCCGGGTGCATTGTGGCGCCGGAACGCCCAGCTAGTGCCGCAGAGTGTAAAGTTCGGCTTCGGCTTGCGCAAAACTAATCGAGTAATCGTGAGTCGGCGGCTACGTTGCGGGACCTCGGGGGTGAGAATCCGAGTAGTCGAGAGGTTGTCGCACCAGTAAAGAGCGGGGTACGTCTCGATTCTCGAGAAACTACCGTACACCCATGTAGTCTACACCTATATAAGTATACCGGAAATCCACCTCAAAACAAGTCAGAAGCTTAAGGATCTCATCCTCAAGTCCTAATGGTGACCTATACTTATCAGGAATCATTTCGTCTCATACTGTTCCAAGCAATAACGACTATTTACTCGGTGTAGGAGAGCGCAATGGAGTCAATCGCATACTCCCAGAAACCGTCGGGCTGAGACAGATGTCATGGATCAAGGTACGTGTCTTGAGTTCTACGAGACAGAGCTTACCGGATAGCCTTTGATGGTTTCAATGGTAGCCAGATATACCGCTTGTCCATAGTACGATTTCCCGAGGTCCGGCAATGTCAAGTTGGACGGCGGCGGCGTGCCCATATTCGGGAGCGGACCTCCTGGATAGTGATGTGCGGGCCCGGCTTGGGCTCAAAGCCCGGGCTTGGGCTTGTGGCGACGTCGAGCCGAGCCCTGAGCCCGAGCCGAGCCCGAGCCCGGCCCAAGCCTTGGGCTTAAGCCCGGGCTTGCTCACAATACAACGAGTGTTCCGGTGCTATCAAAAGGGAATGTATTTGGGTGTAGTAGATTAATACTGCATGTACTCACTAAATTATAACCTCCAGAAGATCTACACCTGCGGAACAAGTCGAGTCGCAGCGAAGTCCACGAGCGTGCGCTTACAGCAGGCACCAGACGGTGACGCACAATCGTGCTCGGCGAGAGCCGTTACGTCTAGAATATCTACATTTTGTCTTCTATGTACATATTAGGTCGCCCTCTCCTTATTCTGAACTCAGGGAACAGTAACGGAGCCAGCACACCCAAGCCTGGGCTTCCGGGCCGGGCTTGGGCTTAGTGATTTGACTGGCTCGGCTTGGCCCAGAAGCCGGTGGCTTTGGCTTGGCTTCGCCAGGCTTAGGCTTGCGAAAACCCAAGCCAAGCCGCAAGCCGCCGCAAGCCATAAGCCAGTGGCTCGGCTTTGGCTTGGGCCGCGGCTTGAAACCTAATTAGGCAGGTGCCACTGTGGATTGACCTTGTCAATGGTTCCACGGCCACCGCACGTAGACATAGGAGTATGTACAGCATGTAAAGAGTTTCTTTGTATAGTATGATGTCTAAATACATACTCTGAGATATAATTTAGATGTGAAACATCAATAAAGTCATTCAGAAACTCGAACTTCATACAAAAGGAAGGACGCACTGCCAAATAAAATGCGCGGACGCCGGAGACGGTGCATGCGCGAGTGGAGAACAGCGGAGGCTGACATGACGCGGCAAACACCTGTCACGGTCAGGGGTGCCGGGGGTGCTGGCAAACCGCAGGAGGTGCAACACGACGTTTCGTGTGCGCCCTCGGGTGGTTGCACCCAGATAAATTATATTATGCCTATATAAGGGCTCATTTGCCAGCGCGCATGTCGCGCAGCGCCTCGACGCGGTGGCCAAGTGGGCATCAGGTGTCGGGCAGCTAGGGACCTCTAGCACTCGCCCTGCCGTTTTGAACTGGAAGGCGCTGCCTTTGCAAGCAGGTGCACCCACCTGAACAAGCCTCTCCTTCCATGTTGGCAGAACCTTGAAAAGCTGTTCGGACAGGGGCTCGCAATGTTACATGGCAGCTGGTTAAGCGGGGCAAGCGCTGGCGCCCCCACTATATTTCTTTGTGGTGAGGCTCAGTCTTATTAATAATCTATTGATTTATCTACATTAGAAGACAGATGCAGTAGAGGAGAACACAATGTAATATTTTAGGAATTTATCGCTAATTACTCTAACAGCAGTACTACATACAGCAAGTTTATTATCTAAAGCCGCGGCTTGCCGGCTTGGCTTGGCTGGCTTGACGTCCAAGCCAAGCCAAAAGCCTTTTCAAGCCGGCACGCTTTGGCTCGGCTTGGCCCAGCTTGTGCAGGCTCGGCTTGGCCCGCTTGCTGGCTTGAAGCCGAGCCAGTCAAATCACTACTTGGGCTTGACCACGCTCCGAGCCCGGCCTTGAGCCCGCTGCCAGGCTTTTTGGGCCGGGCTTGGCGGGCTTGCAGGCTTTGAGGCCCGGCCCGCACATCACTACTCCCGGAGGAATTGTAAGCCGCTATGCTAAAGATATCACGGTGCATAGAGTACCAACCTGGGAAATCTTTGACCACATAGTCCCCAAAGTAGTACAAGTAGTTGCTGAACCCGTGGTCGAATTTAAGTCGGATGTAGTCTTTTTTTTTCCGCATGTTTATAAAGGCCCGTACAGCTATGAGGTACATGTAGGCCTATACTAGCTACTAAGTGTTCGATATTAGTACTCCCCACCAGTTACCCATCACCCTAGGCTGCTTGGTTGCAGTGCCACCCAGATGACGCTGGCCTCGCACAGGCACCACGCCAGCGTGATGAACCCTGGCTCTAGAGCTCCGGCCCTGGCTGCTACTAGGTTTCCTAGTATACTTGCACAGTCCGTAGCCACGAGCATTCAAATAAACACTATCTACATCTGGCCATTGGACAAAGCGATGACCGGTTCAAGCATCCATCCTGACGCTCTATTGACAAGGCCTTCACCAGTTTATTTTTACCGGTGAACTTCGTCTATCTGGTTGCCCCAGTCATCCACATCTGCAGGCAGCACCTCATCATCCTTGAAGTCGCGTTGGCATTGTGATGCCAAGGTATAATATTTCTCTCGGTACCCAAACTCCCTTGCGAAATCCTCTTCCATCCCACTCGATGGCATGCCCAGCGACCAGTCGCTGAACGTTTTCTTGTACTGGATGACTAGCATGTGGCTATACCACTGAGTAAATCAACGTTTGAGTACATCAGGCTTAGGGAAGTCTTTGTACCATCTGTATTCATCCACGTTGGCATCGCCCCACTCATGTGCCTTGTGGAAGTATTCTGCTTGTATACTCTTTTCGAGATTCTGCACATACTTGTGGCATACCGCTCTATGCCATCGAGTGTGTGCCATGGCTTTCCAGATGTGGACCAACTTCGTAAAGTTGAGGCCCTTGCACTCATCCTCCAAGGCTTTCTCTACGAGGTCTGACCATTCAAATGTGGCCACCATGGAGTTGAGTCAGATGAAGTGGTAGACGTCATCCCAGTCTTTCCCCATAATTCTCTTCCTCGTTTCCAGGTCATTGTGCATGTCTACCAGTGCATCGGCCTGGTCGTGTTTGTTGTCTGCCTGTAGGCAGAGATCCTCTATCTCCCACATTTCCCAATCAAATTTTAGTCTGTGGAAAATGCGTTTTCTGTCATATTTAGGGTCGTCTCGTACCGACTTGTCTTTCCAGTATCCCCGGTCCCATCCTTCACACTCGTAAAGGATGTGATCTCTGGTTTCATCTATTTTTTTTTGTCTGTGTGCCAACAATACCAGCATTTTAATGGTCCGTCCAAGTTAAATTTCCGTTGGAACGCACCAATCGGTGCATGTCCAGACATAATGCGAGTGAGCCTCGCCATTTCTCTATTTTTGTCTCCTGACCACTGCAGGAACCAAGAGTCAGACATATGTTTAATGGATTTGACCTGCTTGATGTCGTCTCCACCAAGCAGGCCATGTCCCCTATATTTCTCGTCTGTTACAATGTGTCTTCTCCACGCCGTAACTTCTTCCTCAGTGATGCATTGCCTAGCATACGCTCATGAAGTTGTGGGGGGCTGGTGTAGCTTTGCAGCCTCTTTTGCCTCCTTGTCCACCTCCTCATTATATTTAATACCTACGTGGCTCAGGCACCAGTGAATGAGAATCTCGTTCCACTGATCCTTTTCCAACTATGTTCTCATTGCTTTACATGCAAGGACTGCCACTCGTTGTGATGGTCCTGTTCCTGGGTCTACTATACGTAGTAGTGCACCTTTGTTATCTCCAAATATGTGGAGTTGGGTGCGGTCTCCCATGCCTCGTACTGCCTTCGTAATTTCCATGGTAAGGGCAACCATTTCTGCATTGAACGGAGTGGCCCTGCTCACTCCTATTCACAGTCTGGTCTCTTTTAAATTCGCTTGATCATCGTGTTTTACGATAATAGCAGCTGCCCCCATATTCACATTTCTGGGGTCTTTCCTGGTGGGTTTTTTGACTTGCGATCCGTCGGTAAAGATGGTACAGGCAGTTCGATTTTCCAGTGCTGATTCAATCATTGGCAGAAGCAAATTATTCTTCCACTCCTTGAATTTGTCAGATCCATCTTTCTTGGGAGCACCATCTATGTTCATGGTAATTCTGTCTTTGTATACATTGAGTAGACAGCTGCCCGGTTCGACTTTGATGCTCATGGTGTCAAATTCCTCCTCCATTAGCTCCATATTTTTGTGTAGATGTACAATGGGTGTGTCTGCATCTCTCGTCTTGGTCTGTCTGAACGGGAATGGAGCAGTAATACCTGCCACTTTAAGTTGTTATCATCATCCTCAAAGCTCCACAAGTATGGTATGTGGGCAAGAATAGGTTGTCCGCTATGTAACTTCTGGACCCGCAGAGCCGCCCTTTTCATGCGCTTGTCCACGTTCCATTCAATGAGCATTAATCCTGCTGCTATTTCAAGGAATCCGCGTGGTGTAGTGCGGAACACCCCAGTAATCCACTGTGCCACTCTCATTTGAGCAGCCTGTAGTTCCTTCTGGATCCACTTTATGCCTTTCCACTTTGGTTTCCACCAAAGATGTGCACCATAGATGATTACTGGTACTACATTAGATATGTATAATTGTCGTTTGTCTTTGGGGCTAAGTCCTCAGGATGAGTTGCCTAGCATTCTTAACGCCACTAAGGTGCTCATGCCCTTGGTGGCAAATTTCCTGACATGTTCCCTGAACATCAGACGAGGGTCTAGCATGAATCCTAGGTACCTCATTGAGTTCTTTGGTTTGATCGTATATGTGCGGTCCCCGTCCCGCACTAGGAGCTTTGGTCCTAGTGGTTTGTTGGTAGACCACCTTTCCTTCTCTTTATCCCTGCGTCTTCTGATGAAGTGCATGAGTTCAAGTTTATCTGTTTCAACAGATAGACCAATTAATCTAAGGGACTTGACTAGCTTTTCATATAGCCCCTTGAGCAGCATGTTGTTGTACAGCAGCTGTTCATATTCGCTCTCTGGTGAATTGCCGCTCAGCTTTCCAGCTACGTGAATTAACCCATCGTCGACAAAGAATTGCACGGTGGAATATTCACTTGCTTTGAGTTTTTCTCTGGACCATGTGGTTTTAATGGCTGTTGGTATACCATTAATTTCTACAGCAATGTTCTTTGCCACTGGCGCCACGTCGTGTATGGCTGGTGCAATGTATAATTCTGTGAGGATTGGAGAGAGACTCGATCCTTGTCCTACATCTGTAGAAAAGTCCATGGGTTCTAGGGTTTGTCCGTTGAAGACAAACCAGGTTTGTCTGTCCTTAACGTAGCTTTCGAAGTACGTACATAGCTTGGGGTCAAACCCCTGTTTTGCCATAATTTTTAAAAGGATACCATGGTTAACGGATGGGAAAAACTGGGCAACATCCAGCAGGACCGCCGAAGAGTTTAATCCTTGCTTCCACATCTGTTTGATGCTGTGTACAAGTTGGATGCCGGCATCCTGTGTGCTGTGTTGGATCGTACCGCCAAATTGGCATGGGTGGAGAATTCTGTATTTCTGTCCCTCAAATTGCATGCGCCTTGCAATTATTTTCTCCATCAGTTTACCCAAGCAATTGAGTAGTACAATGGGCCGATATGCTTTTGCCTTGGTGTAATCTGGCCTATTGGGCTTGGGGAACACAACTGTGTTTGATACTTTGAATATTTGTGGTTGTATGCCATGTTTGATGCACGCATTATAATACGCCACAATGGGTTTCTCGATGTCTCTCTTATCAGAGGTCTCTGGGTCGTACTGTGGCCCGCTCTCATCCTTCAATATTCTCTTTAGCCAGAACCATGACACGTTGTCCGGTCCTGGTGCAGAGAAGTTGCTAGTATCCTGAAGTCTCTCGTGTAATTCTTTGCGCAATATGCACTGGAATTTCCGCGTTGGTTTTTGTTTCATCCTGTTAATTAATCCGTTGTCAACCAGGGTAGGGTTGGACAGGGTGAACTGTTTGTGTAGGATCTTACCTACTTTATCAGGATCAGACGCAACCTGGCCCTGACTATCCGTCAGTACCATGTTCACTCCTTGTCTTCGAGGTTTGGTCCACTCCACCATATCCCAGATGCGGCTAGAGTCGGTCTTTTTCATGATGCCCTCAAAGAACTCTTTCTTTGCCTTTTGGGCTGCCCCCTTAAGGGCTTTTCCTCTGAACTTGACTTCATCTTTCAGGTCATCAATTTTAATTACATATTGGAACTCCCGTTCTATTAGATTTTGGAGTTCTTGATCTTCATTGGGGTTTAACCCCTCCTGTGTGACATGGTTGCATGCAATGTGCAATTCATGTCTCAGGCCTCGTAGTGTGTGTTTAGCCCTTGTGAATCTTTTCTGCGAGGACTGTAGTTCTCTGTTGCGCTTGGTGCAATCCATGTTCCACCACAACTTCAAATGTCTAGTGGCCACAGTAGAGGGTTCTCTTGCGAGGCCCACCTAGTCCATTGCCATCGATGTCCACAGCTGTGTGGGTCTGGTGTCCCTATCCCTTGACTGGGCTAGGCGCCAGGACTAGTCTGCAGGAATCAACTTAAACCGAAACCCCGGTTGTTATTTGGTCTGATTGACAGAAGATTTAGTACTCTCGAGCCAGCACCAAGGACTAGCCTGGCACTGCTACAGCCCACTTGGCATCATCTTTCGAGGTGCTTTGCCTCTCCCTATCGGAGTGCAGCACCCGTGGCATCTTACTATCGGATCCTAGGACTCTCCCCCTGAGGTAAACATGCCAAGCTTCCCGTTTCTGCACACCCGGTTTGCTTATGCCATCAGGCACAGATTCCCACTGGTGATTGGATCTCTGTCTCGCTAAGGGATGCCCAATTTGACTGATCGGGAGCCATAAATCCTCCTGACTCATGTCCCTTTATGGCTCGGGCTGAGGCCCAGTGGTTACCACGGGAGGTGGGTACCCTAATCAGGCTATTTTTAAATCCATTTCCCACTCTTATCGTTGCCTATCCTTTTGAACCCTGTACGGGCGGTCTAACTCCAGGGAGCCCTTTCCCCACTAAATGGGTGTGCTAATTTCCATTCACCTCTGCGTCCCAGCAGGCATAGAGAGGTTTGCCATTGGCTGTGGGGCTTTACTGAGAGAACCCCGGTCAGGGAACCACGTTGTGCATGACCGGTCTGGGCTGCGCCCCAGACCTGTGAACCCGTAGGCTGGCACACGGGAGTCAGATGCCCAAAAGTTGGCTGTATCATAGCCTAATGTTCGTGCACGTGATATCTTTGGATTCCGTCATGTTTGCGATTGGGCCGAGCTTCCAGGTAATCCCCAGATTGCAAACCTCCTTTACCAAGGGAGGGCTCGAACCCCGGACTTTTGACAGGCGTCCCTCTGTCAAGGACCATCTGGAACAGCGGTTGCCCACTGAGCCATCTGGCCCCCAGTCAGATGTAGTCGACTGACTGGCCAGGACATAGACGTTCACCGGCGTATAGTCTGGATGACAGTGGCCGAACTCGGGGGCTGCTACATCAAATGTAAACGGCTGGCCTGCAGTCACGCTGGTACCATTTGTAGGAGCAGTGATGCTTTCAGGACTGTCTAAAAGAGTAATTGGTAGACCCCCTGCCAGTGATGGTCCAAGCTGCCGTTTAGCGGGAAACGCGAAGCCTGGGACTGCCAGAGCAATTGCGAGAAGAGAGAAAGTTGATATGAACTGCATGGTAAGATGTCGCCTTTGACTAGAGGAAGGGCATCCGGGTCCTGTCTTTTTAACTGCATCCAACAGTCCTGGCACGCTCACCAACCACATTGCGGTCTAACTATGCAGTCCATGCATCAAGCTTAGAAAACATCTGCGGCATAGCCTGGATGGATGAAACAATGTCCACCATTTGAGGTGTGCTGTAGGTAGAACTTGCCGCCTCCGCATTGCAGCTTTGTAAGCCAAAAAAGGACGGCGGCCGGCAAGTAGTTGCCCAGGCACATGATGAAAGCCACATGGTCACTGTGAGACAATTTTGTGATATGTGCTTATAGATCAACAGGCTGGCAGCAGGTTGGCGAGCTTGACAGTGACCTGTGAAACCGATCAGGAATCCTATGGTGGAACTATGGCGGCAGCCCAGGCGCGACCGTACTGTAGTGTACAGAGCGGCAGCAGAGACATGCAGACTTTGTCTCGTAAGTTTTGCGCTGCAGGCCCAAATGACATTACATATAGACTTTAGTAGAAAGGAACGTGGAAAGCGGTGGTGCTCGCTCTTGAGAACGGCGGCCGGAGGCTATGCAACGCGTGGCGCACCGGACGGTACGGCATCTTCATTTTAACACGGCATCCTGCAGGTTACAGAGAATACATAGTGTACTCATACATATTGGCTTATTCAAAGCCTCGGAAGGTCGCAAAGGTGCGCCACCTATTGAGGGAGCATCAATCAGGCTCGCATCATCAGAGTCCAGACTCAGAGGCAAACGCACAATCAAGTTGCGTTCAGCAAGCTTCTCCGAATGCAGCTGCTGCAAGAAATACCAGGGAATTGTATTTATGTCCTGTTGGTTTGGTGAGCAGCAATGCGCACCACACATACTACTAATACCTTTGAACGAACGAAACAGACTCGCGCGCTCTAGATTAGGCGCCAGAGTCTAATGCGCCATTCTCACGTGTTCGGCGAGCTCAGCGCTTGCCCGAGGGGCGATTCCCCCCAAGGAGAAGATACATAAGCGTGAATTATTTGGGACAGTCAAACCTGCTGTGGACTGCTGCACATAGCGCTGCAATTCCATTTATCCAAATCGTCGGTACAGTAGCTCTACAATGCTTTTGTAGGTGAGACTACAACATAAAATGACACTGTAGTTCATGCACTGGGTCTCAAAGCATGTCCTGCGCAAGCTTGGGCGCCCTTAGGCTTCATCCTCGAACCCAAGACGCCGTGATTGAGTGTGGCCCATGATGCACAAAAACAGCAATTTAATGATTATCAGACTTTCGCCGAGGTATCGCTGGTTGGTCAGCGGCGCGTCGTATTGCAACAGAGTCCACTATGCACAACAACCTCCACATAAAATCTCAGTTATAAGAAAGAAAAACAGATGGGTAGCCAGAGGTTTGTTGCGCTGGTGGATAAAGCGTGGATGCGAAAGATCAACATGCGAAGCAGCCAAAAGGAGCGTCAAAGGATTGGCAACACCCATTTGAAACAGCGGAGCTAAAAGATCCGGCGCTCACTGGTGGCCAGCAGACGGTTGGTAGACGACCACCATTATCTTTCAGGCGACTTCGGTGGCTCGATCTCAGATCTTAACGTTCTCAACGCCAATACATCTGCTGATATGCGTAGCCGTCGGCCTTTGTGGCGGCTGTGCTGCTCAACTAACATGAGCCCCGGCCACATGAGCCCCGGCCGATCGGAACGCCTGACCCTCGCTTTGCTGGCTCCTTCTCGCTATGAGTACGATAGAACTTGCGGCGAAACATCGCAGCAATTGTGGCACTTGCATCAGTGATCCGCCGCGTTTCCCGGGAGCGGGAGACACCCATAGCGCTCACGCACCAACTGCTCACGAGCCTCCGTTGGCTTTGCCGCTCAAGTACCTCTCCAAACCACAGAGTGGCTGGGTACGCGGCTGCAAGCTGTTCTCAGGTCTGAATTTCAGGCTCGAATGGGTTGGACAGCTCATGACTCGGACTTGCTCTCTACACTAGTAACATGAAGATTTTCCCTATACTAATTCGGCCCCCGGCTTACGCCGCTCTGTCCCGCATCAAACTCACTGACGGCGTCTGCGCATCAATCAAGGAGCGGATCGCGGAATGTTTGGACAATACAATGAGTTCGACGTCATACACCATGTTCATAGTCCCAGCACGCAGTATTATGCCCCACGCGCGCTGACTGACAGGGCAAGCGGTATAAAAGGGCTTTCAAGTCCTCAGTGATTCCTCAGACTTGACGACTCACCAGCACACTTCTTCCTCTTCACCCCCTACCCTGCGCTTTTCGGTCTATCATGTCCTTCAGCATCCGGTCCGCCCTCGTTTCTGCCTTCCTGCTCGTGGCGTCAGTTCAGCAAGGCTTGGCTGTCTGCTCTTCGGGTCAAATGGGTGAGTATTCCGTATTGCTGTCTTCTCCGGTCTTGGCTCATATCGTCCTTGCAGCTGTCGGTACTGAATTTGTCAGTCCAAACCCAGCTGACCCTTTAATATCTTGATCATTGACTGGAGTATGCTATCTTCCGTGTACTAGCTTGAAGAGGTACGTTTACACGTGTCTTTTTCGAATAAATAGCTCACGCCCGCGTCCACAGTTCACTGGTCCTTCTGCCACCTTCAATGAATACAGCGGCTTCTTGATGTCAAACAACTGCAACCTCATCGCACAGAACGGCCTCACGCAGGCTACGGACCAGATGTGCAAGGGTGGATACGACGGGGGTGCCTCGGTTACGTGCGACAGCAGCGGAAAGTACGTACATTCTACTGGTGCCCGCGAAGCGTGTGTCTGATATTCCGTCGCCGTCTCTTAGCCCTACCGCTGCCGTTGATACACAGGGTCATAGTTGGACATGCTCTTCGACGAATGACGACAGCTGTGATGTCGGAGGCTCTGGAGGAAGATTCACGGTCCTGGCTTGCTGCAACCGTAGTTAGATGCAATGCCGTAACCTAAAGGTTGCACGACACTTTACTCCGCACTCGTCATCTCGCCCTCTTTTCTTTTCTACCTTTCTCTTTTCGACCTTTCTCTTTTCGACTGTCGTGTCTCGTTTCTTCCTTTTGCATCTTCTCCTTCGCTGTTTGTACCACTTCTCGTGATAGGCTGCGTCTAATGCGTTCATTGACGTAGGCGTGAACGTATGACGGTAAAAAGAATAACACACCACTCTGAATCTCATGCATAAGTTACTATGAGCGCGAGTATCTGCATGGTGATCCGTGTGTGCAGGCTAGTGCTAGTGTTGACCCTGGCCTGTCGAGGACCTGTGAAAACACAAGAACTGGATCTGTTCACCGATGGGTAGTCCCACGGCTCCACTCGTGAGTATTCACAGGTGATCTGGACTCGTGCAGAGCTTTACGGCACTAGATGTATTCTCCGAGCAGGGAGATTTTCTCCCTGCTGGAAAGATACATCTCGTGCCAATTCTGTTGTTGTTCGACCGCTGCCCGCTGCGCGTAGGCTTCCAAATGTGTTAGTAGTTGTTTTGCGCATATCAATTGTCTATGAACCTCTCCCAGGTCTACCTTTACCTTGCCACATGATTGCTGTGGAAAAGCGTCGCAAAGACGACCAGCATGGACACTTGATATCTGGCTGACACCGGCCTAAGGGCAGGTTGATGAGCTCGGTGATTTCCGGGTGCATTGTGGCGCCGGCCCTGCAGCGAACCGCGTCTTGAATCCCCTGCTCGAAGCTGATATTCCCTAACCAAACTCGCTTGAAATATCATCGACCATCGATTCATCCTCGATACGCGGTCAGAAGAGGGCAGTTGCTCCCGGGTTCATTCAACCACAGCACACACCTAGGCCTGCACTCGCGAGTGCCCGGTTGGCTCCGTCAGCGACAGGAGTTTCCGGAGGACTGGCGAAAAAAGTTGTGCATCTTTTCTCGTGGCCTTCCGAAGGTGACTTGGTCCCTCATGCCGCTCAATGTCAATAACTCAAAAGACAGCTTAGATAAGCGATCGGTGAGCGCCAACGCCGGCGGTCTCCGCACACACAACACACGACAGGTTCAATCGTACCAGTCTTCACGGAGCTTTCGGTATCACATCCACTTTCCAACAACAAAGGCCAAAGGGTGTCACAACTTTGTCACTGTGAGAAGCTACTCCCCTATTCCGCAGTATAAGGCACGTGGATGTTGAGAATTTCCATTGTTCAAACCTGACCGCCGTGGACAGAGCCAGGCCATTTTCGGTTGTTCGCACCTTCAGTTGCAGCTTGGACAAAGTGACTGTCTGGATCTCTTTATCCGTTCATCTCGCCGTGCATTGACCGCCGGGCAACTGATCCGTCAGCGTGGCCGCAGACTCGCGTGTTTCCTTATTTACGGCCCAAGCATAGAGGTTCGTTTCTCATCTCCCCCACCATGTCGCGCGACTCACGGCCGCCAAGGCGACCCAGTCATCAGCGCCAGGCGCGCCCCCTCTCGGGCCCTGGCAATCCTTCCTTCGATACAGTTGACGATTTCCCCGCCACTCATCCCGAGAGTCGTGCCGGCGCTCTGCCACCACATATCAGTCGCGAAGACATTGAAGGGGACTCTGCTCGTTCTATACTATTCACACACAAAAGAATAATAGACCCCGAGGACACCTCGGACCCTGGTGCTCCGCCGCGCGTGAAGTTCGTCCGCCACTACACATTTCCTTCCACTCCTGAGCCGAGCGAATCCCCAAAGTTCAAGAGGGGCGCGCCCGGATCACCTGCAGTATCGAGCATGGCCGTCGATGCTAAAACACAGAAAGACGGGGACTCGCCTCTTAAGTCGCTGTCGTGGAGCGAGACCACAGTGGCTCAGGTCGATGATCGTTGTATCCAGGTCCCGCTGCCGGAGCTCAAAAATGGGATCCCTGGCACTGACCTTACTACAGAACAGAAGCAGACGCTGAGTACGTTTCGTGGGATCGACACCAAGAATCTGCCAGATAATTCGGAGAGCAGGAAGTACGGTCCTTTGGTAAGTGGCTCGTGCCACTCCTGTTACAGACCTGACCCCCACGGCCGCTCATGTTTAGTGCGATATTTTTAATGAAGTTGAAGAACTCGCCGGCTCGAGATACCGCTGGAAAGTCGTCGCAAACCACGGCGAGAGCGCAGAGATCGGTCACAAACCCGACCTTGCACGATACCCCATCGATATCCCGGCCGCTGCGTTGGCGTATAACCGTGATGTGGCTAAAGACGACCCCAATATCGCGCGATGTGCTTGGGCATGGATGAATAGCTACGTCGAAGTGAAGAATGCGGAGCGCAAGTCACCGTTCTTCTTCGCTCGCAATATAGGCAAGGACGGCAGGCAGAAATTCCTCCGTCACGGCGATGTCGGAAAGAAGGCGAGAGGCCAATTCATCAAGTATGTTACCGAGGCAATGCTTCGCCAACACCGAACACATTACTACTCGTTCTACTTGTCGAAGATGTCTGCTTGCGTGTTTCGCTGGGACCGAGTCGGCTGTATTGCCTCAGAGCCTATCGATCTCAAGAAGAATCCGAAAGCCTTCCTAAACATTCTCTATCGCCTGGCCACATCAGAAGATGGGGGTGGGGTCGACGATACTGTCCAACTAGCTAGTGAAGAAGATATCTCGCTTGTCAACGACTACGATCCTAAGGGCAACCAGTCTTTGCAAGAATATCGTGATTTGCTGCTAGATGATCGGCCCAGCTACCCAATTTATAAGGCAAGCATTCTTCAACACCCTCTCGCTACGCTGGGGCTGACAGAGGCTGACAGGTCGTCTGCCTCGCTGTGTCTCTTGATGGCACCGAGGCGGAAGGTGTACTAGACAAGACCTACCTCATCGGCCGATCTGCTTTCGGACATTACTTACCCATGGGGCGGTGTACGCGAGGCTACGCGGCATTTGACGTCCAAGAAAGACGCCTCGTCTGGCTGAAGGATCAGTGGCGATGTGTCGCTCGACCTCACATGCAGCTAGAAGCATATATTCGCCTCCACCAGCACAAAGTTCCGTACATTGCGACGCCAATTGCCGGCGGTGATGTCGATGGACAGTGCACAATCAGTCAAAAATATATGACGCATCTTTCGGAGGAGTGGCGCCCTTCGAAACGGGTCCACATTCGCCTCGTGACAAAGGAGGTGGGCAGGCTGCTTGAGACGTACAAGGACTCAGTCGAGCTGCTAGAGGTCTGCACGTGTGCTTATGTTGGTGGGTCATCTTCACACTCGTCAACGTCGAGATTGCTGCTCACATGCGTACTAGCTCATAAGCGAGCGTGGGAGAACGCCAACATTCTTCATCGCGACGTGAGTGTAGGGAACATCATGATCGACAGTGAGACGGGGGAGGGATTCCTGAACGATTGGGACCTGTGCAAATATCGGGAAGATATGGCAGTCAATCGTGCTGCCTCTGAGCCTTCCGGTGTTTCCGTAGGTATCATCCTCTTGCTGCGCTTGCTTTTGGACCTGAACATTGCTCGGCCTGTAGGGAACTTGGGCCTTCAAGTCTGCGCTGGCCCTTCGGTATCCTCGGAAGCCTCCAGAACTGGCGGACGACCTGGAGTCCTTCATCCATGTCATCACCTTCTTTGGCTACCGTTTTCATCACCACGAACTGTCCTCGGAACCTACGGACGACACAGAAGACGCGTGTGTCACGGCCAACGCCAACAACCCCGAACTTATGGGCCTAATCAGCGTGTTCTTTTATCACCAGAAAAAGGTCTGCAACGGCTACTACAAGGGAGGTGGCTTGAAATACCATTTCATTCTCAGCGGAAAGCCCCCCGTCGCGTTCGAACCGCTCAAGAATGGTCAACGCTCTCTCATCGAAACGTTCCTCTTCCGAGCATACAAGCTTCTTCAAGAACATTACTGGTCACTGGACGAGTCGGAGTACGAGGAGTACGCGGTACAAGAAGGCGATTGCGCTGCTCTGGATGAGGTCGACATCCCACTTCCTGGAGGAGCTCCGCCGCGGGTGTCCGGTATGCTCGAGCCTCCTACCGGCCCCTACAAGATGCTCTGGGGGGACCTCGCTTCGGATATCAAGGAGAACAACGGGGCCTTCTGGACGGAGTCCCTGTTGCAGAAACCGACTTGTCCTTTCGACGATCCGCAGCCAGTGCTTGGGGATCACAAGAAGCTGGGCATGCTCTTTCTCAGGTTCGCCGTGGACGAACGCGGCAATAGCGTCGATCTCGACTCCTTCAGGAACGACAAACGCTTCGACCAGTTCCTCAGCTGGAAGATGATATGTTACCTCAACCGAAAGGGTAAGACCGGGCAGTGGAAGGGAAATTCTTCCGAGGAAGAATCGAAACTGAAGCGCAAACGTGATCTTGAGGACACTGGAGATGATGACGAGGCCGCGACTCCGGCGAAAAGGCATGCAACCATACGTACCGACGGACCGATAACTCGGGCACTTGAAAAGGCTGAGAAGGAAGCGGCGCAAGCGAAAGTAGTAGCCCAACAGCAATCAGCACTTCCCCGGCTGCCGACGGCACAGAGACAGGCGGCGAGTCGCAGAGCTACCACGGACGCGAAGACGGCTCCTACTCGAAAGTCCGCCGATTCTCGGCCGAAGAAGGAAGCGGATGACTCGTTAAAGACGTCTTCTAAGGCAAAAAAGGCCGCCAAATCCCAGCGGACGAAGGCTGCGGTCAAGACATCCGCGTCCCGCAAAGCGCAGGCCATGCGGAAGCCTTCCGATCCTCGGCGACCGGCCACTCTTACAACGGGAGCTGCGAAGAAAGCAACCGTCACGGCTTCGAAAACCAAGGCGGTATCACCGCCTGCTCCTACACGACGATCTGAACGGCTAGCCCGCAAGACTTAACTGTACCTTAAATCTTGTGATGGCTCTATGACATATATATTTGTATTTATGGCTCCTTATGCCAGTGCGTCGTCCGGAGAACGTATTTCGAAGCCAATCGTAGCAACCCAAGCCCACGTGAACGTGTGAGTCCAGATTTTCCATTGCGCGATCTCACCTCAAGGACATTATTCGCCCTGGGAGACAATATCTAGAAGAAACTTGGCTGCCCATTTAATGATCGGTAGCCAGCCGCGCCGGTGCTCGAGTCCCGCATCGACCTGGCCCAACATTAATGGCTCGTAATGCATCCACTGTGCACACTCTTTTCAATAATGAAGATATCCAATGTGCCCTAGTCGCGCACAGATCGCTGGCTAGTCGTTCGGTTGTTAGCGTCTGACCGGTATGAAAGCACGGGCCCACGTTACCGTCAGGGGCTGAGGCGGACCCTTTCCTAACACGTTGTATCGCCGGCTCTGCAACGAATTGCTTTAGCACTTTGCGCTCTGTTCGTGCTGTCTACTTAAACCCGTCTGATTTTAGTTTTCTCTTTACAGATTAAGGAGGGAGCAGTGTTATATCGGGTTTAAATCGCTTTCAAGGCTGCTCAGCTTATGTACGACCCTCCGCTCGCGGAAAACTGGCCAGCTTTGCCGCTCGGAAGTTCACCTTCCCGTGGCGCTGAATTTTTGTGGGCCGTGCGGGCGGGTCTACACCAGAAACATCTCGGTCGACGCGTACCTGGTATGCTTACACCTCCCATTCAACGTCACAAGCGAGCCGGCCCCCGGGAATCATACACATCATCTTGTCTAGCTCAATACACGAGGCACCCACACGGTCTGGGAAGGGAAGTTATAAAAGGGTTCCCAGCTCTCGACGGCTCTTTAAGTTACACATTTTGTTTCATATCGCCAGCACGTTTTTTCCTCTTGGTCCATCATGTTCTTCGGCAAGCGATCCGCTCTCGTTACTGCTTTTTTACTCTCTGCGACTGCCCAGCGTAGCCTGGCTGTCTGTGATTCGGGTCAAATGGGTGAGTGCTCCCCGAAGCCGTCTTCTCGAGTCCGGTTTACACCTGTCTCGCAGCCGTCGGGACGGAATCGGTCGGTGAATCGTCAGACCTGTCTTCCGTTAACAATGCCGCTAACGTGGTCGTGCTTTCTTTCGTATCCTAGATTTCAATGGTGCGGTTGTACATCTTTTGCCGCTTGAGCATGACGCTCATGCCTGCACCCGCAGTTTACCGGGCCCAACGGCGCCTTTGAGGAATACAGCGGTTTCCTGATGAATAACGACTGCCAGCTTATCTCGCAGAACGGCCTCACGCAGGATCCGAACCAGATGTGCGATGGTGGATACAGCGGGGGCGCTTCGGTTACGTGCAGCGAGCACAAGTACGTGCCTTCCACTCGATCCCTAAGGGACGCTACTGATATTTCGTTGTTGCCCCTTAGACCTGTCGCTGCAGTTAGTGATGTGCGGGCCCGGCTTGGGCTCAAAGCCCGGGCTTGGGCTTGTGGCGACGTCGAGCCGAGCCCTGAGCCCGAGCCGAGCCCGAGCCCGGCCCAAGCCTTGGGCTTAAGCCCGGGCTTGCTCACAATACAACGAGTGTTCCGGTGCTATCAAAAGGGAATGTATTTGGGTGTAGTAGATTAATACTGCATGTACTCACTAAATTATAACCTCCAGAAGATCTACACCTGCGGAACAAGTCGAGTCGCAGCGAAGTCCACGAGCGTGCACCTACGGCAGGCACCAGATGGTGACGCACAATCGTGCTCGGCGGGAGCCGTTACATCTAGAATATCTACATTTTGTCTTCTATGTGCATATTAGGTCACTCTCTCCTTATTCTGAACTCAGGGAACGGTAACGGAGCCAGCACACCCAAGCCTGGGCTTCCGGGCCGGGCTTGGGCTTGACTACGCTCCGAGCCCGGCCTTGAGCCCGCTGCCAGGCTTGACTCGGGCCAGGCTTTTTGGGCCGGGCTTGGCGGGCTTGGAGGCTTTGAGGCCCGGCCCGCACATCACTAGCTGCAGTTGATACGCAGGGCCAGAGCTGGACATGTTCCCCGACGGATGACGGCTGCGGCGGCTCAGGGTTTTTGGTTGAGGCTTGCTGCACCCGTGATTAGGTCTGCAACTATCGTGGTCTTGTATACATCAGATATTCATGGACGTCCTTGGCTCTGCCCGGACCTCTGTGTCAGTTCCTCATCAGACAACGCCTAATTTTTATGCGATAAACGCAAATATGCATTGTTAGTCTGACCCTCTAGCCCGCTATTGTTGTTCAACAATGGCTTTGAGATCTGTGTCAGCGTTATAGACAATGCACATGTCTGGTGGACGACCATTATCTTCCGGGTTACCTCGGCGACTCAACATCGGCGCTAGTACTGCTGAGAAGCATCGGTTCTTCACGGGCGCCCTGATTAGGATTATAAACGTTTATATGCGATTGTGCCATGTATAAGGAGGGCAAGTTTGCCCCGGGTTCGTAACAAGGAAATAATAATGAGCACACAAATATATGTTAATGAAATTGTGGCGCGGCAGAACATTCTCATACAATGTACGTATACACATTATGGATGCTACAGTATAGAGGCTCACATGCTTTGCTACAACTATGTCAGATTGCAACCCAATCCTAGACAGACGGAAAAATCAGTAGCTGCAGGTGCAGCATATAAAAGGGCGCAATTATATGCGATCAGCAGACATGGTGAGTAAATTAGCAATAAAGTACGCACTCGACACTGAATTTTTGTTTCGATTTTTGAGCTCGTGTTTACCGGCAGCTCGTACACACGCTGTTTACTCATGTTTGTACCTTACTGACCCTAACTTGGCGCTACGACGCTCGGTCTTGAACTACATTCACCACCTGCCTCCGTGCTCCTCATCCGTGAACGTGTGCTGAATGCAGCCACGTCCCATATCTCTGGCCCTCCTTCATGGACATGTGCTGAATGCAGCCTTGTCCAAGCTCTCCGGCCCTTCCTCATGGACGTGTGCTGAATGCAGCCTCGCTCCACCTCTCTGGCCCTTCTCTGCGGATGTGCGCTGAATACAGCCTCGTCTAATATGCCCACGCTCACCCCATGTCTATTCCATCACACCTCACTGCCTCCTGGCACTCCATACATCACATTGGCTGGACGACAAGTTTCTGCCTGAGAGGACGGGTCTGCTCGTTGGGGTATGTTGTCATCCAGGTGCATAGTGCTCCATTACTTTTTTTTTTATCTTTTTTTTTTTTTTTTTTTTTT